ATTCTGTTTAGCACTAATACAGAAAGAACACATATTCATGGCCAAAAACATGCAGGTCAGATTCTACGATTGTTATCAATGTTTCCAGTGATGTTTTGCATATTTTGTATTTTGTATTGCTGTGTAAGAGCGTGAAGATGCTTCATTTTCCACAAGCGCGAGTGTGAGAACAAATCTTGTTTTAGGTCTTTGACCAAACAGAAAATTTCCTTTACGTAAAATCCCCCCCTATTACATTTCACACTGTTGTAGGACGTTTAGTTCTTTAGAAGTTTGTCTTTCTTTTCCAATAATTTTGAGTTTAACAAATGCTATTGGTTCCGGCTGATTAGATTACAGTTGTTTCACTCCTCTTTGAGCCTCTCGGAGCAAACCACTCCCGCTTGTCACTTCCAACTGCTGGGTAAACATGGGCAGAGAAAACCAAAACCGCCCGCAGCCTATTTTCTTTCTTTTTTTTCCCCTTTAACCAGCGGATAGTTGCATGTGTGCGTTTGAGAGAGTGGAAAGTGTGCGATGGGCTTTTTGTCAGTGTTGTCATGGTTTGTAAACTGTGAATAATGACACCAGGGTGAGAAAGCCATCAGCACTGACATGTGACATAACCCCTCTTCCTCACAAGCGCACAGATCCGGAGCTTCGGCCGTCAGTCACAACAAACAACATTGTCAAAAGAAATGAACGACCTCCATTTTTCGCGGCCGCTGAATTATTAATGGCCACGTTATTTTGTTGATGTCTTTGTCATGGCTTCTTGTTTTGTCAGTGCATCAAGAAAGACGGAGCAGCAGATGGGCTATTAGTGTTTAATGAGTCAAATTTATCGCCGTCTGATATAACCACCTCCTGGATGAGTAGTTTTAATATTTTTGCCACGCTTACATCTTTTTCTCATTGTCTTTGGTCACACATGTGGGAATCTAAGGAGTGGTGATTGATGGTTGCCGAGGTGATGCAATGATTGAGCTATCAAAAGAGCAGCTCGGGGTTGATGGATAAAAGGTGTGGAAGGTTGAGGAAAAAGTCAGATGAGAGGGTAGTGTCTTGTACCCAACAAGGAATGTCTAGAGAATGTAAGTTTGTTTCTTTTTTTATCATGTTATTATTCTTATCAAAGCTGGTGTATATAGTAAAATCCTTTTCTAACTTTAACCTATCACTCAAAACAGTCTGTAGCTTTCACATGCATGTATTTTTGGCCTTTGTCACATCTCTAGATCAATTCTTTCAGACAGAAAAGTGGAAAAAAGAGAGGGCTTTACTCAGAGCTCTGCCCAAAGCATCAAATAGTGACACACAAGGCTCTTTCTTACAAGTATCCAAAAGAAAATGTTTTTTTGATCAGGTGAAGACCGCATGTTGTGGTCTGATTTGATCACAACGTTTTACTTTTACAAGACTCTTTCGGCTGACACACACACATTTGTCACGCTAAATAGAAGTTACGCACCCTAGCTTTAATTACCAGATTAATGTCTTTTAAGCATGGTGGCTACTGTGTGTGTGTGTGTGTGTGTGTGTTATGCTGCTATTTGCACTGAAAAGACCACGGGAGATGTACTCCGAACATGAGCCAGGTATATTGCTGTATGATCATTGCACAGTTCTTAGATCACTTTTAAAACAATATTTTGCAACATTCGGGCTCTGCCATGGAAACAGGTAAATTCCCGTCTTTATGATTTATTATTTTAGACTAACACAAACAGCAACAGGGAGTGGATGTGATGTCACTTGTGGCTCGAGAGTGGTCTGGCGTCTCTTCCGATGCAACGGTCATTCTAAATACGGTGTCCATCCAAGCTGTGTGTTTTGGACAGCGATTCTGGGTCTAAAGTTCAGTAAATCCGCTCATGTAGTGCTGAGCTGTAGAAACATGCGCTCATACATACGCGACGGGTCTATATTTGACATGGGAGCTGGGGTTATTGACTCGTATAGAAGACAGCGGAGAGCAGGCCGAAGACGCACATTGCTATCGGAATACAATTAATACTGTCCGCCTGATGGATTAGACTCATTACACAGAGGAGGGCGGCCGGGCGCGGTGTAACGGGGCAGGAAATAAAAAGGGGAGAGGAGCGAAGAGAAGAGGGTATATCCTAAAGTTTGATTGCGGCGTGCTAAATATAGGTTTCAGATGGAGTAGGTGACTTTTCTGGGCAGCGTGCCAGCTTCAGCTTTGGCAAAACTTCTCAATTGAAAATGAATAAAACATATTTTTTCTCTGACTGACGCAAGATGAAGTTTACAAGCTGGTTGTTTACAGAATTTGAAAAGTACTTAAGTGGAGCAGATTGGTGAGCGTTTTCTGACTATGATGCCATCAAGCATGTTGCTTGCTTCTTATTATGTTCATGTGAAAGAGACAGGAGAACATTGTCAAGTTTTATGAAGGAATGCAGGTAAAGAAAATGCAATTGTTATACAAAAAAGAGAATGATGCTTTAAAGTGTCTGAAGTTTAAAAGTGACCAAAATGATCTCATCAGGTATGACATTTGTGTTCATCTCTGACTTTTCAGGCGTGAAGAGAAAATACCTGTAAGATTATCAGTATAGCACAGTTCATACAAGGGCTGTAATTAACTATTAATAATAGATTAGTTGTTTGGATGAGGGACATTATTCATTCTGTAGTCATAAGTCTATGGAAAGTTCAAAAAGTTAATAATTCATTACTGAATTATTTTACAACTATTTTAATTATCGATTAGTTGCAATTAATCAACTTGTTACAACCCTATTTTATACATAGGGCAACTCAAAGTGCTTTACATAACAAGAAAGGAAACATCAAGTAGCATGTATAATCATAGTATTTAATCTTTTTAAGAAAACACATTTTAAAATCTTTCAGTTTTATGCACAGGTAAAAACAGGTGTTTTCAATCTGGATTTGAACATTGCCAAAACACATTCATTATTTTCAAACTCAATGTTCTCCACAACACTAAATTGTCCAAAAAAGGCTGAAAACAATCATAATACTAAAGTCACCAGTGAAAGAATGAATGACTTCAAATGTATAAGATTACTCTATGATTAATAGTGCCAAAACAACCGGAGTAAATGTGTTCGTTCTCAAAGTAACGACTTTGTACAGCGTGTAACCGGGAGGACTCCAAACACAACTCAGGCACAGGTGCACGGCTTTGTCAGTGGTGAATGTGTTCGTAAATCTAAGTATCACTTTCACATGTTTTGAGTCAAGCCATGTCCCGCGGTTAAGTGTTCCTCGCCTCTGCTCATACGCAATTACGGCATTACTGTCTGCCCTTATCCACTCGGTGTGTGTGCGCGGCCCATTCATCACTCGTCTATAATTACTCGTGTAAACATTTTGTGATGAAGTCATAGTCCCAGTTCGCTGACCAATCGGTCCGGCTGGAGACCACTGCAATCAGCCCGGCCCTTTGCATGCAGCTGTGTTTTATGTGCTGTTACATGGGATCGCTTCAGATAAATGTGATTGAAATCTTTTGTCTTAATGTGGTTAGAATCGGCCGTCTCTGCAGCAAAGACGTGCTCGTGCTGGAGTTTGGAGAGCAACATACAGCGGCTTTGTTCTGAGCTCACAACAAGACAATGAGAGCTGAATAGATCTATTTATGTGAGCGAGGCAGTAGGCAGAAAGTTGTACCATCACCAAGAGCCTTCACGTTTTCTCAAAAGCATGCAAACAGAATCCTATTATGGATATTTTATAACACTTTTAGGCAACTGTGGTTAAAGCTGAACTCATCATTAGGCTACTATGCACAAGCCATTTCCACCTGATGTTTTGGTAATCTGAAGGCCGAAGCTACTGGCACTGTGGCAGCTGCTGATTGGACTGTCTATAAGTCCTCCATGGTATAATACCACATGCGGCACAGTGGCTGAGTGTCAGCTGTCTCCCGCTTCTCAGCAAGAAGGTTCTGGATTCGAATCCCGATCAGAACAGGGCCTTTCTGAGCGGAGTTTGCATGTTCTCCCCGTGTCTGCGTAGGCTTCCTCCGGGTACTCCGGTTTCTCCTACCACTAAAAACAATAGTGCAATAGTTCAGGGTGAATGAGTGTGTGTTTGTGAGTGCAAAAGTGGGACAACGGACGCAAATTAGCCCATGGCTACAATCCGGAGTGATGTGTTCATTAACATGTACTGTCCCAACCAAATAAACAAAAAAATAAATAAAATTGGTCGCGTCTTTGTAGCGTCAAAAAAGTCGTCTGTGCCTGTAAACGACCCCAGACCCCTGCGTACTGAAGTGAGTATGAAACTCAAATAACATACAGCAGTAACTTTACATCAACACATTTTCCACTTTGGGATTATTTGTTGAGCTTCTTAAGGTATAAATTGTTCCATAGCCGAGCAGTTTGTGAGGCACCTTTCTGAATGATTGCCACACTGTCACACCCTGGGGACCTTCTCTCCATCATGTCCGCCGAGGTGTCCGCCCAGGGGCCGTATCCATGGCAACCGCCTCACCTGGCATTTAAAGTATGTGTGCGTGGCGTGACCATGAATAGAGGAAACAGACAATGAGACGTTGCAGAGGTGTCATTCACGAGCACAGTCAATATTAGTTTAGAGGAGGCGGAGGTAGTGTGATTCTGCACAGCCTTCTGCTGCTCACAGAACAGACAGACGCCTTTGAAATATTCTGTCTAAGATGTAAAACACATATTCCCACGTGATGGTCTGCTCAGTGGCTCAGTAATGCATTGTCTTGAAAAGCCCCTCAGCTCCCATCTCATTTCGTCACAATCATTCGTTTGGTTTTTCCTCCTAATTACTCACACAACTGTAGCAATACCTCACCACCATTTTGTTTATTGTCTCCATTAAAACTAAATACTGTTTTTATATGTTTAGATCTAGTTTCTTTCTCCGAAGATTATTCTTAATAGGGTTAGTCTGCCAATACAGACCTCCAGTTACTTTCTTGGGCTAAACAGTGAGGGGAGCCCCACTTGGAGGATTTAAAGGAATGTTATTGGAGAGGTTGTGGCACAATGGACTTTGTGAGCGGGCTGGACAGTAGGTGAGAGCGTGTGTGTCCAGTGTGTGAGAACAGGAGGGAGGGGCAGGCGGCATGTGGAGAATCGAGAGCTGCTCTTTCATGGCCAGGTCTTCTTAGACACGCAGGGCGTCAAAAGCTCCTCTCGCTATGAAAAGGCTCCATAGAGAAGCACCACTAAGCTCTTCACATTGGAGACCTGACTTTGTCATGCACACATCCTGGGCCACCAGAGGTGAGGCACCCACACAATGGAGGCGCTCAGGGCAAAAACAAGCCCTCAACAACATGAGGAAATGTAACAAAATGTAGCATGAGAGTCTTTTGTTTCATCTATATGCGCAATTATGTTCAACACAGTTTAATTCAATGAAAGTACAATAGACAGAGAAGTGGAGCAGTATTGTACACATAAGATAAGATAAGAATTCCTTTATTGGTCCCACAGTGGGGAAATTTCTAGTCGGCTGTAATTTCACCAATCACTGCTCAGAATGTAATATTGATGATAATGTTTCTCTTCAAGGCCCCTAGTTCATGTACTGGTCTAATGACTCCTGTATATGAATTTAAACAAATTGAATATTACTCTTCTGTTAAACTGATCAAACTAAAGCTGTACCAGGCCTGAGTATATGACACGCATTGCTGCAGCACCTGTAAGTAGTTAGTTATCGTTCGGTGTCTGTTTTCCCACTCTGTCAGCTGTCAGTTTTGTGTTGCACTCTGTCAGACTGCGCTGGTGATGGCTCCCAACTTAACAGCGTGATATAGGCCCAGAGTTCCTGTATGCGCGGCTTCAATACCTCCGGCCTCTTCAAACAAAAACACACATCCACATTTATACCCACACGTACATACGCGCACACATATACACACATATACACACACAAACTCACACTAGCATATGCCTCAGCTGGAGTCTGTTTTAATGAATGCCACTTCCCGGTTCAGAGGTGAGGGGTTAAAGCTTAGGGAAGTCCACCAACACGGGCCATTTAGGAGAAGACGACACGGCTGAGCACAAATACAGAAAGAGAGTGCTTTGTGGAACTTCCAACTAACGATTTAACAAAAGATGAAATCGAATCAGCTGTCTTGGCGCCAAAGCCAGGAAGTAAATCCACTCTTAAGTCCCTAAGAAGTCAATTTCCTACATTGGACTAAAAGTTGGATTTATTTTCTCTCTCTGGCAGCGTGTCTCAGGTGGTCGCAGTGATGAAAAAGGTTTACAGAGGCCTCCTGAACTTCCTCAAGAGTCCTCCACTAAGCCAACTGTCAATCACCAGTGTGTGAACTGCACTGCTATGTGTACTTACATGTGTGCTCTTATCATGTCCAGCATCACAGAGGGGGCAAAGTGTCGTGTGTTTTTCCCTCTGCATAAAAGCCCATTGATGTTGAACTGTACCCATAGTTTATACAACGTAGTTATCTGTGACGTTGTCAAAATTTACCTGCTGTATACTTTATATGTGTCACGTACTAGTGATTGTTTGATTAAACATGAATTTCATTGCAGTCCCATGACACACCTGAAGAAAAGACTGATCTTTGTGTATGAGCTGTTTTAACCAGTCTTTTCACTCAAGTGTGAATGTGATGCCCCATGCAGAGGGGAACACTTTCTCCTTTGACTTAAGCTTTGAGGGCTCCAGGTCTGAGAATTTCATTCCTCTTGAGATTTTAAACATGGAAACTGTGTTTTGTGTTTCCAAATCAGAAGAGCATCAGCAGACTACATGCTTTATTGTATCCACTGGTTTACCAATTAAGTACTATGGTGGATGTTTAAATTTACTGGGAACTAAATTTGAAATGTTGCTGTATATTCCTGTTAGGAATCAGTGAGTGAAGGATGAAGCGTGCAGATTGACAGACGGATCAAACTGGTGTAGGGAAGAGGAAGCTGAACTAAAGGGAAAAGCTCCAGATTTTCTTCTCAATCTATGCTCCTATCCTCACCTATGGTCAAGATTTTTGGGTAATGACCAACAGGACGAGATTGCAGATACAAGTGGTTGAATTGAGCTTCCTTCCCAGAGTGGGCGGACGCTCCCTTAGAGATAGCATGAGGAGCTTGGTTACATACTGGGAGAAGAGCTGCTCATCCTCTATATCAAAGAGGAGTTAGTAGAGGTGGCTTGATCATCTGTTCCAGATGTCTCCCTGGGGAAGTGTCCTGGGCATGCCCCACTGGGATGAAACCCCATGCAAGACCCAGGACATGCTGGTGGAAGCCTGGGTATCTTTCAGACTGTTACCCCCACAACCCAGCAAAGGATACAGCAGAAAAAAGATGCTTGCTGTAGTTGGAAGTAGATTACAGAGCATAGTGCCCCATGAGAAGTGCTTTGACTTGCAGTCGTACAGAAGCGTCCCTGCTGAATACGTGGTTCACACACTTGGCCTGGGACAAGTTATCCGTGTCACTGGCTGTTGCGACGCTAACAAAGCACTGTCAACCTGTCAATTCCTCTCTTACGAACCTTTGGCAGGCCCTACACGACACAAGCAGATGTTAGGGGCAGCTCTGTGTCTGAGCGTGTTGGGAGCACTTTCATCATATTTGTTTGGATTTGGAGCTCCAGCGGTTAAAGGAGCATGGCTGTTTTCCAGACCCCTCTGTCCTTATAAAAACAGTATCGGGATACAGTCCATTTGATTCGGACCAGGCGTGGGGCAGGGTGTGGATGAGTGCTGGTGTGTGTAAAACAGTAAACGGTAAAGTCCTGGTTTCATCAGGGCTCATGTTTGTACAGACTTAAAATGGATCACAAGCCTTGATTCCAGCAGAATCACATGGATTTGGTGCATCAGGTGAAGGCAACATTCCTAGATCAGACCCGGGCCATAATACAATGTTCATCTGGGGGAACATTTTAGACAAATAGATTTATTTTGTTTGTGCATTGAAAAAATTCATATAAAATGAGAAACAATAGTGGAAAATGCTACTAAAACATAGAGTATTTATTATCTGAGAAAATGGAGTTCCTTCCAAGTCATTAAAAAAGAGCTGAGACCAAAGAGAATTCCTCTACAGTGTTGTTTATTATCGGCTTGTAAATGTTTAGCTGGGCGGTTAATCCTGTTAGGCTTTATTAATTATTGTGAAAAGGGATTTAAAGAAACTGTGTCCAACAGTAAAATAGCATGAAATTATGCCTTCAGAGGAATTTCAAGAATGTTTTAACTTCTCGTCGATTAACATGCCCTGGGTCAGAGAGCTAAAGCTGGGGTCAGGAGCCTGAAGGTGAAGAGGTCTGAGCCGTCTGTCTGGGCCGTGGTGCAGGTGGCTCAGTCTGGACCAGGACACACGGGAAACACACATTTGCGCACACACACACACACACACACACACATATGTTTTCATTCAGGAAACCCGGACCCTCTTTCACTTTAAAATCAGTTTACATTTTCAACATGTGCATTTCTCTGGCATGTTTCTGCTCTGATCAAGCTGAGCAACATCTGCCTTTATTTTAATCATGATCGCTTTGTTGCGGCTTTTAGGCTGGGTCGAGTTTTGTGCAACCTAATTCAACCTGATGCATGTTTAAACGTATAGGAGAAGGTTAGATATGAAGCCATGCCACTATTGCCCCCTACAGGCAGTGTGTGTAAATAAACATTTGACACCTGCTGTGCAATTGTGTTCAAGTCAAATCAGTGTGAGAGGTTTTCTTTTTTACTACTCGTACTTTACTTTGGTAACATCTTCTGCTGTTAAACTGAATTGAACAACTATCTTTTGGTTTGTAGTAGTTTATAGTAAATTAATCAGTCAACCAAATGCTGTGTTGGTCAACTAATTCATGATATTATTTAAAAAATTGCAAGAATTTCTACCGCAAAACAGAAAAACGTGAGAGATTATGGAGAACATTGTATTTGTTATGGAATTTAAAGGTGATGTCAGCAACTTATAATGTATATTTTTGGTCATATATGATCTTGTATGTATTTTTCATAATGAATGCATTTAAAACAGTCACTCCACTTGAAATAAGCATCACCAATAAGATTTACTGGAGGGGAATAGTTAGACAAATGTTGAGGGGGCTCAGCTGTCTATCAAAAGTTGAATTCATCGCATCCAATCAGGAGGCTGTGGAGGCGGTTATAACTGGTCCTTGCTTTTGGAAAAATATCTCTCCATCGTTACAATTTGAACAGTAACTCTTTAAAGCAGATGCAATTAATGCAACCCTGTAACCCTGCATAGTTTTCTTGTAATAGTTATGAGCTATAACTTTTGTCAATACCCATTTTTCAAGGTTTTTTTGTATCAATTACCGCCCTAATCTTTTCTCCTCTTCTGTTTTCAGTGATTTGAGCGAGAACCAGATCCAGGGAGTTCCCAGGAAGGCCTTCAGAGGAGCCGTGGAGATCAAGAACCTGTGAGTAGCACTTTCAAAACTTTCTTTCTTCAAGTGTGCACTTTTTTCCCCCCTCTGTCTTTGCCAATGCGCGCTGCCCCCTCTTGTGAGCGGGCATCAATATTTCATTGTGCTAAATGTCATGTGCCTCCCCACTCGCCGTATCGACTGCCACCTCCGCTCGCTTGCCTCGTGTGTGTGTGCGTATGTCGCTCCTCTGGCATTTCTGTTCCTTGCTTGGCTTCTGTCGAGAGTTGAATGATCGAAGATGATTGTTGGTCATTTTGCCACTACAGTAATTTGCCACCAATAATTCTCTAAATATGGATTTCCAAACTGTTTTGATGCATCCTGTTTTCCACTATAGATATTTTTAAATGCCTGCAATTATTGTAAAAGGACAACGCTGGTGTCTGTATATGTGTGTGTCTGTGTGTCTCTGTATGTGTATGTGTGTGTGTGTGTGTGTGTGCCCACATTAGCATGCGGGTGACAGCATATGATTTACTGTCCTTATGTCTTAATTAAATTGTTTCACTAAAGCAATTGAGAAGAGAGGAAGAGAGAGAGCGCTGCAGAAAGAGGTAAAAAGCAGTGCATACAAATTAGACGTCAGATACTGTAGAAGAGGGGAGAAAGACGAATGGTTAAAGATATTATAATGCTCAGAAATAATCGTTGTGAAAGAGCACGAAGGACTTACAGCAACCTTATCGTTAGTTGTCAGTCTGCCTTGAAATCCACCTGCTGTTGTATTATAAATCACAGCTGCGTTTTATTTTTTATTTCTTTCCTGCAGCCAGCTTGACTACAACCACATTAGCTGCATTGAAGATGGAGCTTTCCGAGCATTACGCGACCTGGAAGTTCTGTGAGTAACTGTTTGTCTTTCTTTCTTGTGCCAAAAAACGTAAAAGGTTAGATACATTTTTCATTGTGACGATGTGACAGTAGTAGTTGTACAATCACAGGTATAACATCAGTAAATATTTTGTTTCTTTACAATTAATTCTAGCATTTGTTTAAAAAGGTGCTGATACAAAATGATTTATTTTTGTATCTGCTTGAGAATGAAGACACATTAGAATCCTGTACTGTGATTGTGGGTTGTAATTGCTGTCCAGCTCATCTGCAAAATGTCTCTCTGAAGTATTTTGTGTGTATTTCTGCAGCACACTCAACAACAACAACATCAGCCGTCTGTCTGTGGCCAGTTTCAACCACATGCCGAAGCTCCGCACCTTGTAAGTGTCTCCGTCTGCAGAAAGGACATCTCTCATCTGCGGTGATCGATTTGTCCTTGTGTCCCTCCTGATCTCATTGTGCTCATATCTGCGATCTGCTCTCCGTCCCTTATCTGCCGTGTCACCCTCTGCCCTCAGCCGCCTGCACTCCAACAACCTGCAGTGTGACTGTCATGTGGCCTGGCTGTCCGAGTGGCTGCGACAGCGCCCCCGCTTGGGCCTCTACACGCAGTGCATGTCTCCCCCTCACCTCAGAGGACACAACGTGGCCGAGGTGCAGAAGAAAGAGTTTGTCTGCTCCGGTAAGTGTCACAAGAATGGATTTTGATATTGTGTATTTGTGTCATGGGCGATAAACATCTGTGCTTTGTCTTGTTACTGTTCTATCCTTCAAGAATGGGATGAAGGCAAGTATTGATTCACACCTAATCCAAAGAAGTCCATCTGCAAAATTCTTCCATTTCTCACAATACGAACAATTATAACGCCCATGAATGTATAATTTAAAAACATGATTTTGATTTATGTCATTATTTTATGGTCAGGGGTGTCCAACCAGTCCTAAAATATCCAGTGTGGCTCTTTTAGGACAGGTTCTTTTTTTTTTTTTCAACCAAGCAAGAGCACACCAAGGTAAAACTGGGCCCACTTAAGGAAATGGGTGCAGTCTGGTGTGCTCCTTCTTGGTTCGAGGTAAAACCTGCAGCCACACCAGCCATTTCTGGAACTAGTTTCATACCCCTGCTGTAGCGGCTAAAGTGCTCCTGAATCCAGAACACTTTTTATACAGCAACCTGGCTTCCCACAAACATTTCCCTACATTTATCTGACATATTTTTCATTTATTTATTTCTGTTATTGATTTTAGTAGTCATCTATCTCTTATAAAGTCTCATGGCTCCAATTTTTATTGCTTTCAAATCAATAATTTCTGATAAAAAACTAAAAAAACGTCTAAAGGAATAATACAAATTGTACACTTACAATTTTGACAGTGGAATACATAGTTTTACCATCACAGCCTCCATCACATTCACATTGTACCTTTGTCTTAGCTCTAATGCAGAATGTGTGTGTAGGTCACCTGTCGTCATCCGCCTCCTCCTGCAGCGTGATCCAGTGCCCCGAGTCCTGCACGTGCAGCAACAACATCGTCGACTGTCGGGGGAAAGGTTTGACGGAGATCCCCACCAACCTCCCAGAGACCATCACAGAGATGTAAGACACACTTTTTTCACACTTTTTTCTGTACCCGTCTTTTGTCATGGGATGGATTTCTTTTGCCGCAGAGACGTCAAAGCACACATGTGTGAAATGAGAAAGCCTTGTCTTGCCGCTGTTCACTGCTTAAGAAAATAATGATGGGGCGGGGAGAGGGGGGATGATCGTGAAGGGCATGATGGATTGTATCTCTTGTCTGTCAGTGGCATCGAGGAAAGATGGAGATAAAAGGAATTTGAATGAGATACAAGTGTTAAAATTCAGGGCTTGTTCCAAATGATTGTTCCAGTGGATTGTATTACCCAGCTGTCACTATCATATTTAATCAAAAAATGTTTTCGCTTGGAGAAATGGACTAGGAAAGATGATCTAATTTTAACAACAAAAATCACTACATCTGTCATTAGAGGAAAGACAAGTTGTTTTGCAAATACTAATTGAATAACAGGAATTACTCTTTACTGTGATCCCAAAATGTCTACACATGAAAAATGTCAAATTGTTGTTCATTTACTTCTCTGCAGTCCTGTCTGATGGGAGTCATGTTAAAAATTGTGCAATAAAAATCCAGACCTGGCGTCAAAGAATTGGCTCGGATTACTTTAATTGCGAGGCACTGTAAGCTTGCTCAACAATGCCCCTCTGAAAGATACAAGCCAGGGCGCCATCAAAAATCATATAAAATAACTTTGCTGCACATAGTTGGTTTGCAGATCATGTTCCTCAGTCACTGCTCATTTGAAGTGTTTAAACAACCCAGATTTGGGGCTGTTTTCTCTCGAGTTTCCACACTCTCTGTTCTGTCTCCCGTCTCAGTCCACTCGAGCCAGACTGGCACTGAACGGAACAGTGCGCAGATAGTTAGGGCCGTGCGAGGCGGGGGCGCGTCTCGGAGCTAAAAAGGCGGAAAGATCAGAGGAATGTAGCAGACCTTGGCATGGGTCATCAAAGGGCCTTATCTGTACCCCAGGGAGCGAGCGGCAGTCAGAGATACACCTCTGTGATAGGGGGAATGGTAATGTGACTGGCCGCTCAATGCCCAGTGTGTGTGTGTGCTTGTTTCCAGACGATTGGAGCAGAACGCCATCAAGGTGATCCCAGCCGGGGCCTTTTCTCCCTACAAGAAGCTGCGTCGGATGTGAGTACAACAGCTCACACACGCATGCTTTTTATCGCTCCACCGTCCCCTCAATTTCACCCTCTAATATTTTTTTTTTTTTTTTTTACAGTGATTTGAGTAACAACCAGATTTCCGAGTTGGCCTCAGATGCTTTCCAGGGCCTGCGCTCCCTCAACTCTCTGTGAGTATTGGGTTCGTTTGGAATGCTTATTTGCGGAATGACATCACGGTCAAATATAGTCAAGGTCGTTCTTATAATACGCAAAGTTATGCCACACAGAATCACAACGGGTATTGAATAACCAAAGTCTATAGTTGATATCAAAAGTGAAATCAACTTTTCTATGGATGATTAGAAAAGTTTAGTATCATTATAATTATTATTTTTATTATGTGAGTAATAACTAACTTCACTCATCAGAAGTCGCTAAGTAAGATAGTGAACAATGTCCTCTCTCGTTTGGATCAGCGTGTTGTTTAGTGCAATGGTTCCTTTGGCACCCCTCTGCTGTTTCCAGTTTGTTTAGCTTTGTTAGCATTACTAATTTTGTCATTATCCAAGATACAATGTCCATGAAACATGTTACGAGATGTAGCTGCAATTATTTACATACTAGGATCACATTAAACCTATGAATTCAGTTATTAAGATCAGTCATTTACTGTACAAGGAATACACCATGAAACCTAAAGAAGTTTTGGTATAATGGCTAGAAAAAAATATATTGCATAATTATTTCATTAGTTTCAGTTTCCACAGAATAAATTAGTAACTTAACTCTTCTGTATTCTTACTCAAATCGTAGCCTTACATTCAAATCACAAATCAATAATCACGTTTTATGTACTACATAAAGGTCTTTACAGCTTCCCCAGCCAATGAAAGCAAGTATTTATGGAACTATAAAGACAGAAAAGTTTTAACATTGCGTTCGTTGGACTCATGTCAAGCCTTCCTGTGAGCTGCTGCATGAAGGTGGTTGGCTGCTCTTCTCTCTGAGGGGTAGAGCCTCGTCAAGTTATTTCACAACGGAGTTATATTAAGGCCCCGTCTCCTCCAAAGTCAATAATTCATAAACGCTGACTTGCTGAATGGAGGCTTCTGCCACCTCATTACACATTCACCACAGAAGAATAGGACACACACTTGCGCTGACACACCACCTAAGTGCATGGCTTCTTACATTAAGGCCCTCTGTGTTGGGCCGATGCAAATGAGCCATCGATTGTGTGTGCGCTAACGTTAGTGCTAAATGAAGCGTCCACTGCTTGCACTTTGTGTTTCCCAACCTCATGTCTCCGAGGGACAGCCACTCAGCACAATGAAATCAAAAGCCAATCTGAAACATATGTCTTAAGTACAATGCTTGACTCAGCGTGAAGCGTAAAGATGGCTGATAACTTGACATCAAGCACAGGGCAGAAAGCCTTGTTTGTGGATGTGATCTGATGTATTTGTAAAGGTTCTCTCTCAAAGGAAAATGCATTCCTCTCACCGTAGATTTATGAAGGTTTTATTTACCGTTGACATTTCAATGAAACATGTTCATAACTATTTATGCTTTATGTGCTGCTTGTTGGCAGCGAGTCAGAGGCAATGTTTTCTCTGTAATGTTTTATTGGGTTCTTTAAAGTAGAGCCAAAAGGAAAAGAGCCTGTGTTGTTCTCCCTCAAAGACCTATCAGTTTTATGTTGTTGTTTTTTTTCCCTATTTTCAGGACTTTACTTAAGCTTATGTTACGCTACGGGGCAGATGAGATGAAACAGCACTGACCAGTCGGATTTTTTACTTTCAAACCCACATCCTGTTAAAACAAACTTTAATTCTGCTGTTTTCTATTTAATACCAGAACGTACAATCAGAAACATTAAAATGACTCAACATTTCCTGAATGAGAATGTACACTGTCTATTTTGTTTTGATTACTGTGCGTTGAACTCATTGTATGTATTTGCTTTTCTACTCAAAATATGATTTATAACCAGCTTCCAAAATGATTAGCTATGTCTTCATTCTATACATGTTAACTTTTTCTAGGTTAATTTCAGTTGATGGGTGCCAGTGTTTGTAATCCTTTGTCATTTGCATGTATGTCCCAGGGTCCTGTATGGAAACAAGATCACAGAGATCTCCAAAAGCTTGTTTGAGGGGCTGTTCTCTCTGCAGCTATTGTAAGTACATCTCCTCATTATTCATGGTGCTGTGATGTCATGATTGAGCCACTGACCTGTAACAGTGGAAACACCGATTTGATCATGATAAGAGGATAAGACATCTCCGCATTTCTTGCAGGTTACTGAATGCTAATAAGATCGCTTGTCTGAGAGTCGACGCATTCCAGGACCTCCACAACCTCAATCTACTATCACTGTATGATAACAAGCTGCAGACCATCGCCAAGGGAACCTTCTCATCACTGCGGGCCATACAGACACTGTACGCACACACATGCACACACACACACACATACACACACGCACGCATACCCACACAACATTCCTCCAAAGAGTCAGAAAAGATTATTTGCCTAGTTAAATTTAATTATTTATGTTCAATTAGGTGATAAAATTGTATCTTTTCTGCTGTAAATTGTGCAAAAAATAAGAATGAATCCGGTTTATTCCTACTGTCTTGTCATTGTGTCAAGAACTCTGCATTACTTCCTGGAAATTCCAAAAAATGTTCCGCTTTTTCCACACAGCCTGAGGATTTATTGGTGTAAAACTATTATTCCTTTTTTTTTAAAATAAATATGTCACAATACTTGTCAGAGATGCCCTTTAAGATTATTTATGGATACATGTTGACTCCACTATTTATATAATACATTTATAATGAAAAATGTGCTATCAATCACTAAGTTCATTCAGCCATTGATTCACTTCTAATAGTTTCAAAATAACTTACCTTTTTAATATGCTAACCACATTTGTCCGACCACTTATCGTTGTGTGTGTGTTTGTCTTTTGAAAACGCAGCCACTTAGCCCAGAACCCCTTCATCTGTGACTGTCATCTAAAGTGGCTGGCTGACTACCTCCAGGACAACCCCATAGAGACCAGCGGAGCGCGCTGCACCAGCCCACGACGCCTCGCCAACAAGCGCATCGGCCAGATCAAGAGCAAGAAGTTCCGCTGCTCAGGTCAGAAAAATAAGTTTGAGATGAAAAAACGTCCTATCTTTCTCTTTCTGTGTGTTCCTGGTGGGATTTCCCTCAAGTCTTTACTAACCTGAACTGTTCTTAAGCATTAGTGCCTTTTTATTGATGTGTCCACCCTCTGTCTCTGTCTCTATTAGCGAGAGAAGAGTATTTCATCCCAGGTATTGTACATAAAGCAGCATGGTGTGTGTGCACTATATGGCTCTCTGGGGGGGCACGCTTGACACAGAGTGACTTTGTGAATGCATACACAGCCACAGCAGCTATATTCACAATTGCACAAAAGCTGTCACAGATTATTTGTTAGAAGCTTCTTTAGTCCTTGCTCAATGAGATACAAGTGAATAATGTAGCCTTAAGTTTTAGTGACGCTAAAATGGATTTTAACTCATACAAATTGCTGTAGTTTCATTTAATGTGATAACTAATGTTGTCATAAATCTTCATAAGTCTTGAGTTGTCACCGCAAAATAATTAGGACAAAACTAAACTTGGACCTAGACTCGACTGGACCAGGACAAAATCCAAGCTCCCTACTAAGTCTGGACTTAAAGGTTTTGTCTTATTTTGTACCATATGACTATGTAGTATCAAATAAAGTAGGATTTTTTCCAAATAAATAGAATTAATCCAGTCCCTCTCCTTGGAGCAACCACTGCCACTAAGGTTTGCTGAAGTAGAATAGCTGGGCCATTGGGAAAGGGGCCTTTTCTGTGTATAAAAAATGTACATTTATCCGTCAGTACTAGGGGTGTGAATGGATGGGTCACGCCAGGTGCTGGCTTTGGAAAAAAATCTCTCTCTCTTCACGATAAAAAGAATACACTGAAATTCACAGTAAAACCTAAGTTACTTAAGGTTAGCAAAGTTTGTGAAACCAATTTGACAACAAAAATAAGCTCTCAGAACTAGCAAACAGGGGGCGACAGTAGCTCAGTTGGTATAGCACTAGTCTTTGGACCTAATGGTCGTCGGTACGAGCGCATCGCGACCCATATCATCTGCTCCCACTGATGTCTGCTGTCGTTGTGTCCCTGGGCAAGACACTCAACCCCACATTGCCTGAAGCCCCCGCTGAAAGACCAAGGCCATGTCTTTGATCACGGAGAAGCCCTCATCCCGTGGACTCACCACCTGCAGGAGGATCAGTGAGGGACTGGTGCATTGAGACTTGGGTGGCAGCTCTGATTGCCACCCCCCGACCCAAAGATGGAATAATAAAGGGGTACAACAAAGGCCCTACAAATAGACAAATAGAAAACAATCATTCGACTTAAGACCTCAAAACAGGACCAAAACAGCAAAATGCCAACTCCTCTAAAGACTTTTCGTAGTAGAAAGTGAGTGTCATAAATGTTCTATAGTAAACCGTAATGACCACTTTGACAGTTTTGGTGCATGCACACAACCACAAAGAGCGCAGAACACAGTGACAGAGTGCGTTCAGCCCCTGGACATGTTCACTTCTCAGCTCGTGTAATGATGGCTAATGTTTGAGCTTATGTCCGTGAGCATCTGTGTGCACACTACATCAAAAGGTCACACAGTTTTGGCGGCCCAGGGGGTTGCTGGGAAATATGTACATCACACATGCATATGAGCTGAGCGCAGGGCTAACGGCGGTCATTACCACAGCGGCGCGCGGCAGCACCAGCGCAGTCATTAAGTCTGGAGTGCACCCCGGGCCCCAGCCGTTCAAAGCACACATACCACATACGGGGCAAAGATGAATAATTTAGCAATGTTTGTGGTTGAAAAGTTGAATAAACAGGCTCCCTCCCCCGTTACAAGCCTAGTATTGCCCCGAAAGATCAATACGCTTCAAATCCGCCAGTTTAATATGCATTGTGTAGTCACGCTGTATTATTCCACATACAATTTCTGTTTGAACAACTCAACTCTTTGGAGATTCAAATCTGTTTTTATCTTGGCAAACGCTTCTTTGATTGATAACAAAGGGAGCGACAGACGCCTCACATTTTATTCGATTCTTTTAGGATTTTTTTTTTTACTGCTTTATTGTCAGCACGGAATCGGATTTAAATCAAGCAACTTTCCACCCGAATGTTTGTTGGTTGAACGCACCTAATAAATGTCATGCCACTCCATTCACAAACCTCCCTCTAATATCACTGATCGGGCAAGCCGTTTTTAAAAAGTTAAATATTAAAAATAATAAACGCGGCAATTCCATTCTTCTCTTCCAACTGCCTCACACACTCAGGAGTGCACCAACATGTGGGCTGTAAGTAACACACTAATAACATCTCCCTGACTTCCTGGATCCCGCCCATTCTCCCTCTGTGTGAACTTTCCTTTTGTTTATTCTGTTCTGATGAAGTGCCTTTTGCGACAGTGGTTTTGGTCTCTACTGTTTTCTCCTTGAGCGTTTGTTTAAGAGGATTCCCATAATCACTACTGCTCTTGCCTGGTCTGCTGCTGCTGGAGCTCTCCCCTTCCTTTTTTTTCTAACTTCTGTCTCTGCTCCAGACTCTGCGATCACATCAGTTTGTTGTGTTTATGTCTCCAGCCCTGTTCTGTCCTTAACCTTTCCCAGTGCGTTTATCTGTCGCTAACAATTTCATTAGTCATGACAGAGTCTATTGGCCAATATAATTATTCTAATATTTTTTATTTATTTTATTCTTTTTAAGGAGTGTTAAAAATATTGCTTTATTTGTGATTATTTGTAAAACCACCAGACTCATGAACATGTGTGCACTGATCACTTAAGTCTGTGTACATCTGAGTGAAGCAGAGTTGGCCCAGTTAAAGTGAACCAGACCAACGAGACAACACCAATAATGCTTTAAATGTTTCTGTCCTTCAGTGTCCATCTCAGGAGCACAGTTGCAGCCGCTGTTCATAAATCCAACTATATTTGTTCTGTAAAATAATGAACTGCTCTATTCTTCAACCTCAGTGGAATAAGTGAATACATAAAGGTCAAAGTGCTCCTGAGATGATATTTCCACAGACTCTCCTGGTGCCAGTGTTACAGTAGCCGTTGGTCATTCTGTCGCTGCCTCTTCGTCACTAACCTCCCCTCTGCCCTCTCAGTGTCTCTGTCCTGTGCCCTAAAGGAGCCCCGCCGGTCAGCAGGTTGTTCCTTTGTGCTTGATCTAACCATGTGGCTGCAGGGTCCTTTAGTGGAACATGGTTCTGTCAAGCACCATGGAACGGCTCTGCCAAACCTGCCGCATGACCAAGACCCCGGCGACAGCAGCCTCCTCCTCCTCTTCCTCCTCCTTCTAACCTGTTTGTGTGTGGTAGATCTGTGCTTTAGTTGTCTTTTCTCTGCCTGTCTCCTCAGTAGTTTGTTGTGTGGTGTTTGCAGACTATTAGGGCATAATTCCGTGTAAATGTTCAAGTTGTCTTTTATACAGTATGTCTGGTAAATGTATGTTTTACAGCTTTTCACAGCTTAATCGCAAATTGATATACAGTATTGAATATTGATTAGAACTATCTTATACAACGATACTTTTTTACATACCGACACTTTTCACATGGTTTTTCCTTTGCCAATATTTTTTACTTTGTCTGGACATTTTTCAAAGTCTACCTTTTTGGTAAGCTTTCAAGCACAACAGAATATAAACCTGATACATTATTATGTCAAAATCTTGAAAACATTTTGTAAAACAATCATTTGAGGCAAGAAAGTGTTTTTGTACTTGTGCAAATACACAAATACAAAAATACATTCACTCAAATGTATTATATTGCATATCGCATACACTTTCTCACCAATTTACTGTGCCAGTTTCAAACTACAGATTTCAGAGGCAACACAGTGCTCACTTTATACGTTGACTCCAGGTACAGAGGATTATCGCAGCAAACTCGGTGGAGACTGCTTTGCCGATCTGGCCTGTCCAGAGAAGTGCCGCTGCGAGGGTACCACGGTCGACTGCTCCAACCAGAAACTCACCAAAATACCCGACCACATCCCCCAGTACACCGCTGAACTGTGAGTCACACAACCTGACAGTAGAGAAGTACAAAGTCTATTCATGTGGGGTAGACAGAACAAACTCCAGATGGCTTTTATCTTATGCCTTCTACGTTACTGTCTCTCTCTGTCTTCTATTCTTATAGGCGGCTGAACAACAATGAGTTCTCTGTGCTCGAGGCGACGGGAATCTTCAAAAAGTTGCCTCACCTGCGAAAGATGTGAGTCACACTCATATTGTGAGAATACAAAGTCACTCGGCGGTCATGCTGTGTTACGCTTTTATGTTTTTTGTACTGATGTTATTTTTGTTCATCTTTCTTGACGTTGTTGCAGTAACCTGAGCAATAACCGCATCACTGACATAGAGGAGGGGACATTTGAAGGAGCCACTGGGGTCAATGAGCTCATCCTGACCTCCAACAGGCTGGAGAACGTACACCATCGTATGCTGAAGGGACTGGGCGGCCTCCGTACACTGTGAGTCCAGACATACACATGAATATTCACATCTCTGTACATCATGGGTGTCAGGGTCAAGGCCCGGGGGCAAGATCCGGCCCACAAATGATTGATCTTGACCCCCAGAATGATTTTTGATTTTTGTGTTAGAACCGAAGCATTTAATGTTCAGGACATGTGTTTTCTCTTTGAAAGAAGTTTGTTTCTGTCTGTGATCCTGTTGTTAAAATTATTTTCACTTGAAATGACAGACCCATACAAAAATATTGGATTATTCATTTGATCACAAAATAAAATACGGTATACTGTGTTAGGTCTTGGTTCAACAGGTTATATGCAATCATTTTAATATGTTTTAATACACATTGAACAAGCCCGGCTCTCGGCAAATTTGTTTTTTTGACCCGTATTTCACTTTGACATCCCTGCTGTACAATACACAATAGAATACTGTGATATTGTCTGTACAGTTGTCGTACAAACATAAGAGGATGCATAATTCATCATTACAATATTATCATAATTAGCGGCTGTGGATGCGTCACACATTGTGATTGTATTTGTTCTTAGAATGCTGAGGAGCAACCGCATCAGCTGTGTCAGCAACAGCAGTTTCGTGGGGTTAAGTTCAGTGCGCCTGCTGTCGTTATATGACAACCAGATCACCTCCATGAATCCCGGAGCCTTTGACACGCTGCACTCTCTATCCACCCTGTGAGTAAACCTCCACTGTCTTCTGAGTCTGCAGCATGGAAGACAATGCATTTAATAATAGGGACTAGAATTATATTTAAGTTGCAGGGCAGGCACTAATACAGTTCTGGGGGAAAAAAGCATTTTTGGAAAGAAATATTGAAACAGAAAATGTCCATGTGTTTCCAGGTCATTTTTTGATATCGATTTGATTCATAAAGCCGTCGTGTTATTGTCATCTATCAACATCAATCATATGTTTTTTTTGTATTATTGTCACCACTTTTAGATATATATTATATATATATATTTAGACCATATTTACTGACCATGAAGATGACAATTTTTGTCTCATTTGGATTGGCACAGAGAAATTAACAATACATGAACGATACAAATCTGACAGTTACCATTGATGCTTCTACAGCTCTGCCCCACATGTTAAACTATAGGCTCTTTGGAATTTTGTGATGTCACATGAACGCAACCTCTACACGACCTATCCCTCGCTTGTACAAACACATTGCCTTCATTACAGAAACCTTCTCGCCAATCCTTTCAATTGTAACTGCCACTTGGCTTGGCTTGGTGATTGGCTGAGACGAAAACGCATCGTCACCGGAAACCCACGCTGTCAGAACCCTTACTTCCTGAAGGAGATCCCCATCCAGGACGTGGCGGTCCAGGACTTTGCATGTGAAGATGGTATGAAGGTTAAACAAGTTGTAGCTCAGACAACGGCGTGCTAAATATAAGTAATATTACATTAAATTAAAGAGGCTATAGATATTTTCCTTTGTTGCTTTCTTGTCTCCATGGTCAATGCATCTGTATCAATCTCTTTATTTTCCTCAGGTAATGATGAGAATAGCTGCTCCCCTGTGCTGAGGTGTCCCGCTGAATGCTCCTGCTTGGACACTGTGGTGCGCTGTAGCAACAAAGGCCTCACTACCCTCCCCAAAGGACTCCCCAAGGAGACCACTGAACTGTGAGCCCAATCTTAATATCAACAGCAAAAAACATGCTAATTTAGTATGTGTGGTAGTGATCGCCTGCAGCTGAGAAATAAATATTTGTTCTCAAACAATCAATCCAGTCCATTTTACAGTCGCACAGTTAGGTAGACACATGGCTGGAATAATTGCCTTGAATGGAAAATGAGATTTAGCCACGAGGTATTTCTATCAATTCACCAGATGACGCATTTCTCAAATATTAACAAAGACTTCATTTATTCAGTAGATTAACAGCTCCAGCCTCAGTGTTGTTTTTCCCTAAGAGTGTATTAAATATTAAACTCAACTATAATAGCTCTTGTTGTAATGACTGCTCATTCACCAGAGATGAGCTGCCTGCTCCCGTGTGGTTCAATAACTTAATTTTCCGCCTCTTTCCTCATCTATCATTTGCTTCCTGTTGTTGTTTTATATATTTATTTTCTTTACAGATATCTGGATGGTAACCACTTCACTCAGGTGCCCGCAGAGCTCTCGGATTACAAGCATCTAACACTGATGTAAGTACAGCTGGCATAAGTAATGTACTGAGCCAAGGGACAAACACATGAAAGTCAGCACTCATCTTCAGTTAACGTCAACATTTGGTGCATAAAGACAAGCACGACTATCCCAGCGTCAGACTTGAAAGCATTGAAAATTGTAGCCATGATCTTTTGCACTATGCAGATACGCTGTATGGTGGTTGACGGAGCTTTTAAGGGTGTTCTTGATTTAGAACAGACACCTGGAAAGAAGAATATCATGAAAGAGTTTGAACATTTTAAGAAATGAAACATACAGGTGAAAATTAGAATATTGTTCAAAGGGGAATTTATTTCTGTAATTTAATGTTGTATACCTCTGACATGCAAATTGAGATATGCCAAGTTTTTATTGTTTATTTTCATTTTGATATTTATGGATCCTGAATTTGTCCCACAGTGCGATAATGTCAGTGTACAGGTTTCAGAACAGTAGGAATGAGGAGCACATTAACATAAAAATGAGTGAATATTAAGTATAGCCAAGCATAGCTTGAAGAGTAAGATAACATCTTTATCTTTAGTTTTATTTGGGGTATTTTAGTTTCACATTGTGCGTTGAATTACAGAAGTAAATGGTCTTATGAACCATGACCATTTTTTGTGTGTTGGTTTTATACAGCGCTTTTTTAGACACTTAAAGATGCTTCACATGTCATTATTTATTCACTCCATACATACATGGTGGTGATAAATTCTTACTATGCCCTGGGGCACACTGATAGAAGCGAGACAGCCAGTATGTGCCATTAGGTCCTCCAACCACCACCAACCAACCATCCACTCATTCACACACACACACACACACACACACACACACACACACACACACACACACTCAACAGACTCATTCTGTTAATTGATTGCTGAATACTTTTTTCATTCATTCATTGCAAACAAGAGTACGCACCAGTGAAACAAACACATGCTTCATAGAGGACAGAGTTTTACAGCGAATACATTCAGGTGACAAAAGGGTGTGCAAATGCATGGGATAGATGAGCAAGGGGCACGGAGGTAATCAATAATGTTTAGATATATCAAGGCAGTAAAATAATAAGACATTTTAGTTCAGCTCATTCTGACTGGTGGCTGGGACCTGGGACAACCCTGGGCCTTGACTATGTGACGTCTGGAAAACTCGACAGCACAATGCTTGGATTGCCGTGTTCTGTTTGTGTTTGCAGATGCATGCGTTTGATGTATTTGTTTTTCTTTTCAGTGATTTGAGTAACAACCAGATCAGCACGCTATCCAACCACAGCCTCAGTAACATGTCCGAGCTGCTTACGCTGTGAGTGTCGCCTTTGAAAGTCATTTTGTTCTTTCATGTCCAGCCTATAACACGTCTGAATATTAGAGTATGAGTATGTCTTTGTCAAACAGATCATATGTGTTGATTTGGGTGCAGCGTCAACAATATGATTACAGCGTTGCCATGAACCTGCCATGAACCTCACTATTGAGCTGTCATTGTCAATCATGTAACAAGCTAACAAATTACTAATCTGTTTCGGATTTCAAGTCATACAATTTGGGGCAGTTATGGACACATTTGCCATGATCAAAGTTCCAGCAGATCCAGACTAAAAATAAATCTCAACATGAGGTTTCTGATGTTGTTGGTAGATTTGTCTGTTTTTCCAAATTGTGTGCCCTAACCCCATGGATTAACATGTTTACTTTCTTCATAGTGTGGCGGAAATTAGATCAGGCATGTCAAAGACGCAAACCAATAATTACAATTCTTATTATAAACTTGCTGCCTTTATAATAAGAAGTAGCTATGACTACCATGGCATGTTGTAGCAGCTTAAAGCTAATTTTCTTCTTCAAACAACTGCAGTGTTATTTTATTCTGATCTAATTTATTATTATTATTAAATTATTATCATTAGTCTAAAATTTGAAACCAAATGTTTGCCTTTGACTTATCAGTTTGCAATTACAAGTCTTCATTATATTTGGTTCAGTTTTGGTTCAATCCAAATATATTCATTTTGTTTATAGAAAACTACCAGAAAGGAAAAACTAAACTCATATTAAATGAAAGTAAGTAAGTGATAGAAATAAAAAAACTACACATTTATCACAGAAAAGAAATTCAATAATATAATCAAAGTTATGTTATGACATAGATGAGTTTAGTGTAAAAGTATAGCTTAAAAAACTTTGACACCTGCTGCTTTAGATTAACATAATCTTGTGTTAATCTCTTGTGTATAGTGAGTTTTAGAATAACACGTATCTTTGTTTGTGTGAAGCATCCTGAGCTACAACCGTCTGCGGTGTATCCCGGTGAGAGCGTTTGATGGACTCAAGTCTCTGCGTTTGCTGTGAGTAGTATCTTTGTTTGTTCAATAATGTGTTTGTGACCAGGTTCTCCTGTAACAGCGATATTTCTTCTCTCTACACTTCCCTGGGCTTCATAGGTCTCTCCATGGCAACGACATATCACTGATACCAGAGGGAGCCTTCAAAGACCTCTCGTCGCTCTCCCACCTGTGAGTGCATAAACGCATATACAGACATCACTGTCACTCAAGTGCCTGCTTTAGACCTATAGAACTCACGTTAGAGGGAATAAAGAACATTAACATCATAAGGTTTGTTTACTGAGAAGTTCCAGAAATAAGTATGTGCTTCAAGTGTCGTTAACCTCCATGGTCGCTAAGCAACAGATGCTTATCACTGTATAAAAAGGTGTTCAGAAGTGTAAACCAAGTATACTTACCACCTTCTACAGCAACTGTGATAACAATAGTGTCAAACTAATGCTTTAAGAGTGAAACGTTGGTTGAAGTGGGATCAGCACCATGGATAGTGCCACAATGCCTCAGTCATCTTTTGTTTTCCAAAATCCTTTAAATGGGAGTGCTAGCTATAAATCATAATAACATTCCTCACACCTTTTTGTTTAATTTGGCAGAGATCTACTGTGCAGTCTGCTGGGATTCATTCGCTGACAGATTGTATATTGTTGTGGTGCTCAGGATTTATGATCTACAAAATGCAGTTACGGAAAGTGCCTCTTGTTTATGTAAAGCGTGTTTCTGCTGTTGCTCCAGGGCACTGGGGGCAAACCCTCTGTACTGCAACTGTAACCTGCAGTGGTTGTCTGATTGGGTGAAGAGTGGATACAAAGAGCCAGGCATTGCGCGCTGTGCCGGGCCTGGAGACATGACAGACAAACTGCTCCTGACCACACCTTCAAAGAAGTTCACCTGCACAGGTACACGAGCAACCTGCGGAGGACTCCTAAAGGAGACCACAAGTTGCCATTTCATTTTCTTGCGTTTTAATTGTTATTTTGGCATTTTTTTGCATTTAACTGTTGAGCCTACAATTTTGATTTAACGTTGATCCTGAAAATATGACTGAAACCTATTTTTAACCTAACGTGGTGCACTGTAGAAGTCCCGGGGCCTTGTGGTTTTCTGGTGCCAGGTAAAGTAGCCAAATCAAATCTACCTGTTGAGTCGTGGTTCCTCCTGATTCTCCCAGTGTTTTGAATCCTATGAAACCCACCTGAGCTTTTTCCTTTTCAGTCCTCATGTTTTCACCAATTGTGCTTATATGCCACACTCCTGCAAATCCATCACAACATTGCATACTGTATGTTTTACTGAAAACAAATTATGAACATTTTAGACTGGGGTCTGCCACTATAGACTTACTGCTTTGTTTGGTATATTGTAAAGTGCTTTGTATGACCTTGGTCTTTCAGAATAGTGTTTTTTTATAATATGGACACAAACCAAGTCAAGTACATTCCAAAATATACAGTACATTTGTTGCAGGATTGTGGATGTTGTTTGGTGATGGAGTGAAACCTACATGTGCCTTTCCAAATGTAGGATTGTGTTTTCTTGTTGTAGGACCCGTGGACATTAACATACAGGCAAAGTGTGACCCCTGCCTTTCCAATCCTTGCAAAAACGATGGCTCCTGCACAAATGACCCTGTGAACTTCTACCGCTGCAACTGTCCATATGGATTTAAGGTATTACACTATGTTTAAGTGCAACGGCAAAAATATGAATACAGCCTTAATAGATTAGATTAGATTAGCGATCATCAAAAGAAATAAACCTTTTACTGTTCACATTCAGGGCCAGAACTGCGAGGAGCCAATTCACGCCTGCATCAGTAACCCATGCCAAAATGCCGGAACATGCCATCTGAAGGAAGGAGAAGACGGCAACTTTTGGTGAGCAGTTTTATTAGAACTAGTTACGGGATCGATTTCTGGGATAACCACAGAAAGCTTTTTATCAGTTGTGCGAAATTGGAAGTATTTATGCGCATTGATGCCAAGTAAAACCCGTGCTTTAATTGGCTGACTAATTGTTGAAAAAGACTTTGAATGTCTCATAAGATACATGTTTACTGCAAAAGTCTGATGCGTTTAGCTGTACACGGCCAACACAATTAAAACAAGGGCCTAGCTCATTATTTTGATGGGGCAAATCCTTCACTGGTGCTGCACCAGTAATGATAAGTGGCTTTTAATTAACACCAGGCGATGGGGGAGATGCTCTGTCTTCTCTTGAACCAGAGTCGTACCAGTCTATTGCAGTGCTTCGTTATGTGGTTTACAAAGAGTAGGTTGACATAACTGTAACCATATTGGAAGTGTCATTTTGTTTTGTTGTTGTGGAAGTTTGAATATACATGTTTAGAGCTGTCCATGGCCTATAATAAGCTATTATTCATCCAGACTGTGCTGTATCAGAGCTCCATGCAGCCCTATGCTAATAATAATACTAATAATAAAAATAGTAATAGTAATCATAATACAACACCCAACCCTGTGCAAAACAGGGTTAAAAACAAATTACTATAGAACTGGACGGTGGTGTGGGGGTAAACAGAAGAGTGAGTTCTGGGCTAACAAGTCAGACAGAGGGGGCAGAGAGCCAGAGAGAAGAGGAGAAGTAGAGGCAGATAGAGGGTGTAGTGATGTAGATGGAGTCAGACAGGTTTTATTATGGAGTGTGGCCTTCATAGTAAACAGAATAGTGTGACGTCAAGCCTTGATTTATTAAACAGGGTCAAATGGTGTGTACTATGTGTCCCCAGGTGTGTGTGTCCGGAGGGTTTTGAAGGAGACGCGTGTGAGATCAACATTGACGACTGTGAAGACAACGATTGTGAGAACAACTCAACGTGCGTGGATGGGATCAACAACTACACCTGCATGTGCTCCCCGGAATACACAGGTACTAGACGTGACCCGGACGTCTCTGCCTAGATACAATATTACCACTAAACACTACTGACTCCAGATGTGGATAAGTTGCTCAGTATTTATAATAATAAATGCAACTAATAAAATATTCAACAATAAAATCCAACCAAACAATATACATTTTGAACAATATTCAAATAAGTCAATAGTCATTTACTATTAAAAAAAACTTTGAAATGATGTTGAACAGAATGTGAAAAAAGAAGCACACAGCAGTAGTAGCTCTAAAAGCCAATTGTTTATTCACATTTCACGTTTTGGTTCAAGTTCTTCTTCAGGCATGACACATTTTAGATGTTTGTGTCTCTGTCTACACTATTTTACAAAACTAATAAATAACAAGTAGAACAAAATAGCTTTCATCGTATGGACTGGATTTGAAGTTCTGTAGATTTTATGGGGATCGATTTCCCAGGTAACTGATACGGGCCATTTTAAGTTGAGTTATATCTTTGTTGTTTCAAACAGTAGGCTGGACTAGACTAATAATTTCACTAGGAAAAAAAACAGGGGAAAAGTCTCAAGATATTGGCCAATAATCGTCTGCCCCCTGAATATCATACCTTCAACAACATTTAAGGACTTCTATCAACACATATGGACCAATACCAATGTGTTTATTTCTGTTTGATTCTCTGATCTGTGTTGGCGAATTAAACAGTTGTGAGAAAACTACTACAAGAATACATTGGATTGAATTGAATTGAACCTTATTCATCTAACAATATGATGAATAAGGTTTGTACATGCTGGCTCTCCTCACCTAAAGTGTATTGAAAGTGTAGTAGTGGTGTAATTGTGCGTCTGCTTTGCGCTGTGCCGTCTTAGCCGTGACTGCTAACCTGCTTTCCTTTCTCTCTTTCGACTTTTACTTTGCGGCTTTGCTTTGCTGTCTTGTTCTTATGATGTGTGCATGTGTCACAGCTGCTACCAATGAGGTGGAGAGAGGTCAGTGTGCTCTTCAGTTCTTCCTCTTGTCATTTGCACCTTTTTCCCATCATGCTCTTGGCACAAGTGAATCGTCCTCCCCTAAGGCCTGTGTTTCGTATCAGCAGCACGTGGGACATGCCGTTTATGTTTCTGTAGATCCTAAGCCTGAACACACCTCTGCGTTAATTATGAAAACTCCAGGAAATATTTGACCAATATTTCCACCCCTTGTTCCTGATCATTTCACTCCCCTTTAATTGCAGTAAATGTCTCCTGTCAATAATGTATTTTTACTGAACTACTGTATACTGTATTTTTATCACACCTGCGTTGCACACATTGAGTAAAGTCACAAGAGCATAGCAATAAGATTATAACGATACCATGTACTGTATGTGATTTTTTTAAAATAGCACTACCACATTTTTAAATATTATGTGTTTTTAAATAATATGTTTTCTTTTTAATGTACAAGTTGAGTGATATAAAAAATATATAGATCATTATAACCCTATGTTACTGTCAAACCAATTCAAGAATGTATTAGAAATCGTATGCATTTAACCCTGAATAGAGTCACAATGAACTAATTGTTATGTAAATAATTATAATACGGTATATTTTCTTAATCATTCTTGTTAACTGGACTATACTTGTCTAAAATGAGGCAGAGTTAGAATTTTAAAATGTAAAAAAGTAGCACCACGCTACAGACTATAGTAGCCTTTGGTCACCTTAGAGATAGTAATGCTTTAACTATTCTACCACTAAAATAATCATAAGTGGCACTCTTACTGAATAATCCACATATTTTTACCTTTTTTAGGCCAGTGTTTAAGATTATTAACGTGACTCCAAGTCTAACCACATACTGCACATACTATTGTTACATTACGCTCACATATTGTTGTATGATGTATTATTATTACTAGGTATTAATACTTGATACTCATATACCTTACATTCATTTGATGTGTGTGCTTGTGTGTTTTTTACTCTAGGAGAGCTTTGTGAAGAGAAACTGGACTTCTGCGCTCCTGAGTTGAACCCCTGTCAGCACGATTCAAAGTGCATTTTGAATCCACAGGGATACAAGTGAGTTCACGCTGAGACTCTGAGTGAGGACGGTGGATTACTGACTCGCTCTTTCATCTACATTTTTACAGTCTATTCGTCCAGTTGCTCACAATAGATTACGATTATGGGATCCTTTTATTCGTCCCACAGCGGGGAAATTCCAGTGTTGCATTACAAGTTACAGAACAGTAGGAATGAGGAGCACAAAGCACAAACCCATTAATAATAACTTGATGCTAAAATCAGTTAAAATATCTAACTCTAGCATAAAAATAAGCAGTATATATACATTGACTTAACTATCCATCCATCCATCCATCCATTTTCTTCCCCTTAATCCATTTCTGGGTCGGGGGGGTGGCAGTCAGAGCTGCACCCAGTACACAGAGCACCAGCCCCTCACTGATCCTCCTGCAGGTGGTGAGTCCACAGGAGCTGAGATCTTACAGTGGGGCTTCAGACTTAACTATGCTATGAAAATATCATTTGTGCTTGAAAGTTTACATCCCCAGACACATTTCCGGGATTTTGATCAATAACTCAAAAGTTTTTTTACCCTCATTGTTTGTCATATCCAATGATAATGGCAACAGAAACTATTCCTCTGACCCTAGTTAGAAGTCTCCATCCCCCAGTTCTCAAAAGCGTCTATTGACCCCTAGGCCCCTAACAACTATGACGGCTTGGAATATTTTGTGGTCTTTGTGGATAAGGTTCTTTATCTCTTCTTTGTGCGAACCATCCCAAAAAAATCCTGGGCTGCCTTACATGAACTGCACATTTGAGATATCCACATATCTGCTAAATGATAGAAATGGCTTCAAAAAGCGTTTGTGTTATGATTAGTGTTCTCATCTAAAATATATATGTTACACAGCCATGTTCAACTGTTCATACCATTCTGTCTGTGTTCAGGTGTGAGTGCACCCCTGGATATGTGGGCGATCATTGTGAAGTGGATTTTAATGATTGTGAAGAGAACAAATGTCAAAATGGAGGCCAGTGTATCGATGCTGTGAACGGATACACCTGTGTTTGTCCAGTGGGTTACAGGTAAGACTTGTCAAGCCAAACGCTCCATGGCACCAGTGGTCAGGAGCACAAAAGATACTCTATGGTGTAGAGTATTCTGTGTAAAGGGTGCCCCCCTGTGTCCATTGTTCAACATGCAGTCTTCATGTGTTCTTTTCCAGTGGTTTGTTCTGTGAGTTCTCCCCACCCATGGTCCTGCCCCGCACAAGTCCCTGCGACAATCATGAATGTCTCAATGGGGCGCAGTGTGTTGTCATGGGGATGGACCCTCGCTGTCAGTGTCTCCAAGGATACGAAGGGGAGCACTGTGAGACGTTAGTGAGTGTCAACTTTGTGAACCGAGAATCGTATCTGCAGCTTCCGTCCAACCTGCTCACGCCACACACCAACATCAGCTTACAGGTGTGTGCTTTCTCCAAATATAATAGTGTGATTATCTTTGAGGGACAACACACTGTACAAAGACCCCCTGTGATTTGTTAGATTGCAACAGATGAAGACAGCGGCGTTTTGCTGTACAAAGGAGACAATGACCATATTGCCATGGAGCTGTACAGGGGCAGACTACGGGTCAGCTATGATACAGGATCCTATGCTCCATCTGCAATATACAGGTACAGAGAGTTCTGACCACAAGCACTAACTTAACACGATGGAGAATCACATTTTATGCATCTTTCACAGCGTTGAGACCGTAAATGATGGCACATTCCATGCAGTGGAATTGGTCACCTCTGACGACACTCTTTCTCTGTCCATCGATGGTGGTGCACCTAAAACCATCAGCTCCATCAGCAAACAGTCCACACTGAACATAGACTCTCCTCTTTACTTAGGAGGTAAGGACTTTCACAAAAGCAGACATTTCAAGTGTATAACTAATAATATAATTATTTCAGTCGTAGAATATCGAGTAATTTGCAAAGTCCACTGTGTGTAATAATATGTTCCTCTCTTTACTTCGTGTCAGGTATGCCAAAACATGCGTCTCTCTCCAGCGGACTGTCAGCACTGCAGCACAACTCTGGAGGCAGAAATGGCTCGAGTTTCCACGGCTGCTTACGAAACCTCTACATCAATGGGAAGCTGCAGGATCTGGGAGTTGGGCTGGGACCAGGCAGCATAGGAGTGGACCATGAGAGTGCACAGAGAGCCAAAGAGGGCTTTGGACAAGGTGTAGAGCCTGGATGTCAACCGTGCCAGACTGGGGTCTGTGTGCAGGGAGACTGCCACCCAACAGGACACCGCGGCTTCAGCTGCACATGTCACCCAGGGTGGACCGGAAACCTTTGTGACCAGCAGGTCAACAACCCCTGTGAAGGCCACAAGTAAGAGGCAACCCACGGTGCAACAACACCTGACCTAATGTTGCATAGTAACGTTATGCATTGTTTTTCCAGATGTATGCACGGGTCCTGTGTTCCCATTAACTCATACTCGTACTCGTGCCGCTGTGAGCCTGGCTTTGCAGGAGTCTTATGTGATGAACAAGACAAGGAGGGCAACAACCCCTGTAGTGTTTCTCGCTGCAAGCATGGCAAGTGCCGAGTGTCAGGCCTGGGAAAAGCATACTGTGAGTGCAACAGCGGGTTCACAGGAGAAGCCTGTGATAAAGGTGAGCACACTTGAAATTTATATAAATATATGAATGAATGTCTGCGCTGCTCATTCAATACTAAACTCTTTCTCTTACGGCTGTATGTTTAATGTTTCTTTTAATCCTAACCTCAGCCTCCCCTGAGCTTCCTCACAACCCCACATGGGGGGTTACTCAGGTGAGACTGGGCCCAAGTCTCAGCGATGCATTTTTGCTTAATTCTGTTTTTCATTCATTTATCAATAATTATTTCTATATACTTTTTTTCTATTATCTATGTTTTTCCCATGATGCCGTCATAAGTTGATCATAGTAGTTATCACTCAAACGCATGAGCTGTCCGCATGTTTCATTTTCTTTATTTGCTTCATTTTTTTAAATTTGTTTGATATTTGAGACCCATTTCTGACATGTTCTTGTTGTTACTCATGCAGAGGTGGCCTGCCGAGGGGAACGGATCCGGGACGTCTATCAAAGGCAACAAGGCTATGCGGCGTGCCAAACCCAGGAGAAGGTCTCCCGCCTAGAGTGTCGGGGCAGCTGCCCAGGGGGGGCAGATGGACAGGGCACCTGCTGCACCCCCCTACGTAGCAAACGCAGGAAATACACCTTCCAGTGCACTGATGGATCTTCCTTTGTTCAGGAAGTGGAAAAGGTGGTCAAATGTGGCTGTACAAAGTGTTTCTCATAAGAAATAGAAAAAACAAAAGACACAGCACCGTTGGCAGATTCCCTTCTTCTTAGATGTCTATGGTGTTCCTGCCCGCCTTACCAGACCCACACCCTTTCGTCCAAAGTCATGCGTTGTCTTGGGAAAGTTTCCGTTCTGGACACTCTCCTGAAACTGTTTTGTAAAAACCCTTAAAAAGTAGAAAAAAAATAATAAAAGAAAAGTTTGTTTTGTGCCAGACTGATATATGAAGCATCCTCGGTGGGGATGTCAAAGCGTATTGTAAAGTACAAAAACTGACTTATTTTTGATTACGAAATGGAGAAAAAGGACAAAGAGTTGACTCTGTGACAGACTTCCTTGTTCCATTTGTTGGTCTTGACGACCACAGTGATGTGTCATTGTCTTCTCCCTGGAAGATTCAGCGGCCAGTGACGCGCTGCCTCTTTAGACTTCCTGCTCCCTCTCTGTTGTCTGTTTTAGGAGTAACCTAGACTGTAGTAGCATGGACTCACCTGTAGAGGCGCTGCACTAAGGCACACTTGTGAGCAGTGTATCTTCCACACAGAGACTGTGGGCACAGTCTTTACAGCTACTGAATAACTCATGAGCACTCACCCTGGTTTGTTTATCCACCCAGCGTCATGGATGACAAGTATTTATTGTATCATAAATACATGTACTTTTTCAGTAGACCTCCAATGTATCAATCTGATTCTTTTAATATATATTAATTTATATTTGTCCTTATTTTTGTATTAAAAAGACATGTTCATGTCAAGATAGCTGAACTAACAAAATGTTGTCCTTATTTTGATTCAACACAATGTATTTTGATCACTGAATCTATTCTTGTGCTTGCCAGAGATCTTAGTTACATTTTATTCTGCAAATGTGACGTGAAGACATGTATATTTTTGTCGCAATTCCTGAGAGTTTGTACTGTGTTATTACCAGAAGGTTTTTTATATTAGAGTATAAATGTATTTCCCTATGTACTATGTACTTTACACACAGATCTTGTGAGTAGCATTGACCCTAGAGGATGCTTAGAACTGTTTTTACCTTTTTAACAAATTTATGCTAAAGAATACTGTGACTTTTTCTAAATGAACTACTTTGTTAGCCTCTTGATCCCCAATGTTAACATGTTGCTGCTAAGTTTTTGTACCATAGACTTGGATCTTGATCTGTATGTTATATAACTTCCTGCTCCTACTGTACAGGGGTGACTTGTGTAACAGATAAATATGTCCCCACCTCTACACATGTGCATCGTGCTTTCTGCCCCTGCTTCATGCACAGACTAATGTCAGTTCATGACTATTATTTTATTAAACATCATATTTATCTCACAAATCCCATTTTTGAGTTTTTCACATAGGATGTTGCAGCATCTTCAATACAAAAATGAAACAATCAACCCAGCTTCCAGTGTTGTAAATAAACATATGATACAGTGCTTTTCTAGATTATTTTGAGTCGTCCAATTGTGTCCGCGTGTCATTTTTCATCACTAACTGGGCGCCCCTTCACCCTATTTTTGACAAACAGTACTTATCCATTGTGAATGAGCCCCCGAAGTCACACAGATTCTACCAGACAGTTTAAAGCCCTTTCACAAAGCACCTGAGACAAGATCTTTAACCCGTGACAATCAAAAAGACTGAGCTCATCGTGTGCTGTCACGTGCTTATTTCTTCATCTGTTCTTTTTTTGTTTTTCCTTATATTGTTGGTTTGTATATCCTTAATTGCTTTTATTCATGTTTTTCATCAATCAACCTACTAAAAACATTACAAAATTTTATTTTGAGTGCACAACTAAATTTGACTGTAATATCCAGCACAGTCTTTCATACATGCACTTGTGAATATGTCAAAGCTGTGATCGTCATATCAATGAGGGTTAATAAGGGTTCTTCATTTTTACTTGCAATCAGATTGGTGAGATTGAGCAAAAATATTGGTATTATTATTGTTATGATATAGTGATTTCTATGTTACCCTATTTCTTGTTTATTTAATGGCTGTAGCAGTGTACTGATTTACAGAAATGTTGTACCGAAGTTAAAACTTTAACATGTTTAGAGTGCTCATCAAAACAGAAACACACAGAAAATCTTTTCAAATAGAATCATATTATCATCCATCACAATCAGATAATACAAAACTCATCATCATCTTCTTGACTAATATCTTTATTATAATCATTAACATACATCACACACTTTAACATAAACAAATATTAGATTTAGTTCATAGAGTTGTATCCTGACGTTGCTGATTAAACTATTTATAATTAAACATGTCATCAGTATTCTTGCAAATTAACATCTTAAAGCATTACATTTAGCGGTAGTTCAATCAAGACAACAGGTTTGACGCCCAATAAGAAGTCGCATTTTTTTTCATTATGTTTGGTATGAGGGTGGGCTGCATTCTGTCTTACTACTGAGGTTTCCATCTCATTTCCCCTTTCCTAATTGATTTAAATTCTGAAAAAAGAAAGGAAATGTGTTTTTTGTGTGTCGACCCTCTAACAAAATAATAAAAACACTTGATCATACTGAACTGACAGATGCCGATTTTACTTAATGAACGTACATATTAAAGAAAAAGAAAGAATGGTGGTTCTTTGATATTATTGCATGTTCAAGACCCACATCTTGTATTACTAGTTTCTATAACTTCATGCCAAACACATGAATCCTCACTGTATACAGCACGGGGCTCCAATTCCTTCAAGTGTTGCATTGACGCCCATTAACCCCATCTCGTGCATATAACCTGTCACCGTTGACATTGTGCTGTGTGTCTTCACTGGCTCCTCTTTCAGCATTGGGCGCAGTATTCTCTCCATTCGGTCGTCTTTGGTTCTCTGCTTGTCACTCTTTATTTTAATTGCTCTTAGCTCTCGTTGTAAATATTCAACTCTCTTTCTTTCTGTTCTATATTTCTCCATTAGCACAGAGATTTCCTGCTTGCTTTCTTCCTGCTGTCTCCTCACGTAGGCCTCAGTTTGCTGCTGCCCGGCTTCGTCCCGACGCCTCTGCTCCGATAAGCTCATGTTGAGTTTGTCCACCTCTTTCTGCAGAGCTGCTTTGTCTTTGTCTTTCCTTTCTCTTTCAGCTCTATTCCTACGGACCATCTCTTCCATTGCTCTTCTGAGGTTCTCTTCGCGTTTGACCTGACTTTCTAGCATCTTGCTCAGGCTGTCCAGTTTTCCTTGAAGCGCTTCCCTCTTTTCCTCCTCCATTCTTTGCACTTCTATCAGTTGCAGCATGTCGTGGATTTTTCTCTCCTCACTCCTCATTTGAATTTCTTTGATCTCCAGTCTGAAGGCTTCCTCCAGATCCTTGGCAACTCTTAATGCTTTTTCCTTTTCTTCGTCCAGTTGTCTCCGTATCTCAGACAGTTCGTTCCTACTCACTTCCTCCATCACGTGTAGTTCTCTTTCATACCACTCTTTGATATCCGTGTCCAGCATTCTCTTCAGCTTCACCTGAGTCTCAAACCGAAGCTTCAACTCATCGTCAGCTTTCTGAAGCATTCTACATGTGTAATGTTGCCATCCATTTTCTTGCATTACAGCATCCACTAGAAATAAAATGTTCAAAACCTGTTCTGTGCTTCTCAATGTGTGATTATTTAAGACGCAGTACCTGCCCCCACAGCTGGAGACAAGCTCTTGCAGGTCTGGGCAACTGTCTATCAAACACTCCTGGACTGTTGCTCCTTTCTCAAGCAAGTCTCCGTGAGTAAAGATGACCACAGTGAAAGCTCTTGTGCTGGAAGAACCCATGGCCTGCTTCATGTGCCGGACTGCTTCCTTTTCCTCCTGAGTGAATCTTCCAATCCGAATGACCAGAAGAAAAACATGAGGTCCTGGGTAAAGCAGGGTTACGCTCCTCCTCAACTCTTTGTGCACGTCCTGAGCGGTCTGCTGAGTGTCCATGAAGCCAGGGGTGTCCAGGATGGTCAGATGACGTCCCTTGAACTCCCCACATGCACGACGACAGCGCTGTGTAACAGAGGAGCCACTGACCCGGGAATCAAAAACCCTACGTCCCAAAATGGTGTTTGCCGTGGAGCTCTTCCCGCTGCCTGTTTTTCCCAGCAATACCATTCTGGTTTCCAAACTGGAAGGAGAGGTCCTCTGGCCTGCAAGGGTCAGATGTATCATTACATATTGTCATTGTGCATGCTACTTTCCTGAGATAAGTGTCTTTAACCCTTTAATGGTTTCCTCAACCATTTGGTAGATTACTGTTTAACTACTTGAAACATGCTTAGAACTGAAATCTACCTCATTGGGGCATCTCTATCTCTTAGTTTTAACATCAAACTACATCTCAAGCATTTGGTAAAGGCCTATAATAAAAGAAAAACTAGGGGTTCCAAAAGAAAAGTGTTCCAACATTAAGTGAGCATTAAAGGGTTTAAATGAAACATGTCTGTGTGAGGTAATATGACACTTTTTAAGCTTATTTTATATGAAAATATAGAGCTCACCTGTGCCGCTGTTGGCCAAACGTTGCTTGGTTGGGGTTGACATGATGCTGCATTCACAAATGTTCAAAGGCTGGAGACGTGAACCCTATCTATATGTCACAATGATTGGTGGGAGGGTCTAAACTATATCCTTGATCATGTGTCTAGACTCTGAGACCAATACTCTGTCTCTATCATTCAGTTTCTTCCCTTATCTGAAAGTACAGCTTCCAATGTCCATAGTTAAGTAGGGGGCAGACGTTTTTTCTAACCTCTTTGATTCAATCACTGCAAGATCTTTCTCATAGATCAATAATGGAAAGTTGTTTTTGTAAACCCTTGGAACCTTTTCGGTCACATTCCGACAACAGGAGCATGTAACAAATGCTGTTTTGGCTTTAATGGTGCATTAGTTTGTGTACACCATTTGCTCAATGGTGACTTTCATCTAGCATTAGAACACTGTTCATCCGTCCATCTTCTTCCCCTTAATCCATTTCTGGGTCGGGGGAGTGGCAGTCAGAGCTGCACCCAATTCACAGAGCACCAGCCCAACCAATAGAACACTGTCATATAGCAAACTGGTTACACTCAACATTAGAACACGTCACACACTCAGACAAACAGCAGCATGCGGAGAAGATGTAAAAAGAAGTAGGAAAAGAAAATAACTGAAATATTTATAAGGAAAGCAATAAAAAAGTAAGCACCCACCAAAATCAAAATACATTATTATGTGAGTAACAACTGACTTTTGCTCTTTCTCAAGTAGCTAAGTACAACGTTTTTGACTTCTGTTCACACAGAAGTCAAAAACTTTCACCTTTCACCACCTGCGGTAGGTGAAAGAATTTTCCTTGGTTTCGACCAGACTTGGACAAAAACCAGACCCAAGAACAGAGCCTTAGTTTGAAAGTTCTTCTCAGTTCGCCCCCAACAGTCACTCTGTGTTTATTGAATGGCCCTAAATAGTAGCTCCCATTTCTCACATTTGAACATAATTTGTGATGGTGAAATGGGTCATTTAAATTACGTGATTTCCCATTAAAGCCAATCACCCGGAGCATGTCTGAGAAGATAACTCCAGAAGTTATGTTGAAAAGTGCTAATATATAAAACATTTAACTCTGGCCCAGATATTTATTAGTTCTTCATGCACAGTAAAATCATTCTCAAATAATGAAGATCCATCTTAAATTAATACATCAATAATTTATTTTTAGCAGTAAACAATTTTAAAATACTGTATGTTTCTCCTATTTTTAGAGGTAGACCGAACCTTTCATGCAAATGCAGGCGAAAGTTGCATCCTGTCCTAATTTTTAAGTTTCTTCCTTCAACAAGTGTGTTTTTGCTTGTATACACAACACAACATTGCTAGATTGCAGACGTGTAATGTAAGATAATGCCTATAGCTAGAGGTTTGGCTCTTAGCTCATCCATTATGCAAAGGCCATGCATGTTCAAGACGATCTCAAGATTGTCTTACCGTTCAGCCGCTGTGACACATGCGAGAACACCTGAGGTTAACTAACCCTACAGAGCCCAGGCGCATGTGGGAGCGCCCGTCCAGTTAAATGGATGATTTGTGCTCAATGACTCAACTGGAGGGATTACAAATCATGCATTAAACAACACAAGCACACGAACGCTCAACTGCATCTACCCTGCCAGCTCGCAAAACAGCCTGATTGGTGTCTTTTGAGGTCCATAAATAAAAAAGAGCTGTCACGATGCCTTGGCAATGATAAGGATGCTCATGAGGAAGACCATAATGAAGAAGATCCACATAAAGAATCTATCCATGACCTTGGCGACCTTCTTCCACTCCGCCACTTTGATACACGTCGACCTCTGTTCTCTGAAACAGTCTGCGATGTACTGGATATTCTTGAAAACCTGTGCAAATAAAAAAGGCTGTATTGAAAGTGGTAGTCTGAATGTAGGAGGCTAGCCGTACAAAAATGAATAATATATAAAATTATAATTATATCATTCATATTATTTGAAACTAGCACATGTAAATTAACATTGAGTACCTGAGAATAACAATGAAAGTTGAAAAAAACAAAATGCACTTTTAAGTATGTATTGGCCATTTTTTTTCTTCCCCCTTTAATATCCATTCATTTTCTTCCGCTTTATCCATTGCCAAGTCTCAGAGGCAGCTCAGTTGAAGGAGCTGGAAGACCAGACCAGCTGGGAGTCCCATCTCCCTCCAGAGAGTCCTAGGTCTTCCTCCTGATGGGATATTCCCTTCACCTAATCTAAGGGAGCGCCAGCCACTCTGCGGAGGAAACTAATTCAAACCGCTTGTATCCGCGAACTCCTCATTTCGGTCATTACCCAAAGCTCCTGATCATAGGTGAGGGTGGGAACGTTGGAATCAAGAGCTTTGCGTTTCGACACTGCTTCCTCTTCCCCTCAACTTTCCGATACAGCGGCCGGCGGCCGCATCACTGCAAACACTGCGCCTATCCTTCCCTCACTGTGAACAAGACTTGAGATGGAATTCACTTGAAGAAGCACCTCTCCACTCACAAGAAAGGGTAAAGCACCTTTTTCCTGATTTTATAGTAGCAATAAGTAAGATTTTCATGTCAACTCAACATTAAATGGTCCTAATCTGTAAAAAGGTATCAATAAACCATGCTGTTATCGAATACAGCTGGGATATTTGAATTTCAAAACTGGATTTACAGCCATTAAATCTTGTTATTGTTTTTATTTAAATGTCCCGCCCTTCACGGTTTTACCAATTAGAAAGTCGAGCCTTGAGCTAATCTCACTGGTAAAGTAACATGTGGCCGCAGAACTAAAAAGGTCTTGTTATTTTTCTCAAATCGTTAATGACAAAACAAGGAATAAAACGTGGATTTCAATCGGGGCCTTTGAGAAAAAAGTTGATTATACATTTGTCTATTGAGTTATTATGGTCCCAGCTGGATTCGTCTGCATATCTGGCAACCTGAGTCAGGGAGAGTGCAGTACAACTTTTTGGCCAGATTTTTATATAAGGGGCTGTTTCTTATTTTTATGTTTTTTTATGTTCATTTTTATGCTTTCTTATTTAGCACAGGATTCATGAAGTTAAGAAAAATCACTTTTTTTTTGTGTGGAAAAGAGGTATGGAATTAACAAACCTGTTTATGTTGGTGGCACGTGCAGCAGCCGGGACAGGCCTGCACTTGTGGTTTCTCAGGGTTAAAGAGAAGCTGCTCTTTGAGGCCTCCGTTCAGATGGTGCAGGTTTGAAGGGGCCTGGTAGTCCAGCTCATCTCTCATGATGTGGTGATACCTCTGAACCGGCTCCCGCTTGGCCTCTCCTCTCTCCAGTCGGGATACGTGGTTGTTGTAGTGGTTGCGATTTGCGTTGCCGTTCACCTGACTTTTGTGGTTCTTAGAATACTTGTAAGCATCGTCTTGGCCATAGTAATCTTCCACATAAAGGCCCTTCTCACTCATGGGTTCCTCAGAGTACAATGGAGTTTTCTTACTCTCTGGTGTAGTGCAGTTTTCACCCACCTCATACACAAACAAGATTTTGGACATGTAATCAATGATGAGCACTTTGGCCCAGTGAGGGACTGGTTTGGCTTCAGCGCCACAAAAGTGAATGTTCATGATGAAAATGGTGAGGGACGTAGAAGCTGTGATCATTGTCATTGTGGCTATATAGTATTTTCCTGAAGAGGAGACAAGAAGGAACATGGGTCAAACAAGGGATAGTTGCAGTATGTCCTGTATGTGTGGTGTACTGAGGCTCTCTTTTATTTTTATTTTAAGACACTCTTGTAAACTAAAGTTTATTTTTTAAACATAGATAGATAGATAGATATAGATAGATACATTGGCACAAAGGTAGGAACATGATAATTAAATGATGATTTGTTTTGTTTATTCTACATTATTTAATAAATAGTACCAGTATTTTCATCTAAAATGTAGTTACTCTGATATCCATGGTTAATCCTGTGAAACATTTGTTGACTATTGTTTAAAACACCAAACAACACTGCCCTGCAACTAGACCCTCAACCAGGTTCAGGCCCAGGCGGCAGATCAGACCAGTCCAAAAGGCCTGACCATCCAGGCCCTTCTAATTCTTAGTCAAATCAAGTGGTGCTTGTGAGTATACAAATCATTATGTTATTCAAGACATTTAGAATTGCCTGGATCATGAGATTTCCACCCAAATTGGCGCCTTATTAAGCTGCTTTACTTGACTACTTATTATTCAGACAACTTTTGACATTTACTTCTTATTTTAAAACCAAAATACTTAATACTCATTTAATTTTTAAAATGGGTTTTCCGGATGACCACATAACACAACAAATAAAGGAAAGGGACCAATGACAACTTTGTCAGCATGAATCCCATATACAGTACTGTACTGTATATACAGTAAACGTGGGTATATCATATCGTCTAACTAAAACAATTACTTTTTGTCAGCTCAGTATCATCTTACCGATGTAGGGCATGCTTTCTGCAGGAGGCATGCTCTCAGCCACCAGCAGCTGGAAGACAGTGAGAGCCAGCAGCACGGTCACACCCAGGGACACCTTCTCCCCGGAGTCGGCCGGTAGATAGAAGCCCAGGGGAGCCAGGAAGGAGATGAGGAAACACGGCAGCAGCAGGTTGAAGATGTAGAACGAGGAGCGCCGCTTTAACAGAAGGGTGTAGGTGATTTCTGTGTAGGGGTCAGAGCAGCAGCCGTACATCATCACGTTTTTGACCGCTGGCATTCCATGGCATTCCCACTCCACGTTCTCCACAAAGTCGGATAGATCCCCACTGTCCATTCCTAAACTGACGTCAACCTGAGCAGAGAGGTTATTGTGATCATTGGAACATTCTAGGTAACTGCTTAAAGCTGGGGTACGTAACTTAACAAACAAGACCATAAAAGGCTGTCTTCATCTTACAGAAAATGGTATCTTTTACTGTAAGAAAGAGTTTGGAGTCTCGTAGCTGAATTTCGTATAAAATAAAATAATTTTGTTCCCACAAAAACCTAATTTGTGTCCACAAAATAGCAAGTTGTATGTAATGGATAAATTACATACAACTTGGATTACTACACTCATAATGTATAATCTTAATTGACTCTAAATGTTGTAAATTCAAGTTGCAAAATTCTATGGAACACATTGTTGTTACAATATATTTAACTTTCAGTAACTTATGGCTGAGAGCTTTGGGGGAATGACCTAAAGAGCTGAAGTTGTGAGAGAAGGCTTCGTTAAAAAAATAGCCTTTTATGTCCACAAAATAACTTTATTTAGCAAATGTCAGCACAGGGGTTGTAATAGTAGTAGTCTGTGGTGCCCTGTAAGCCACTATTGGACTCTCGGGGCTGAGAGGTGATTGGGCGAGTAAATTCATTTTTACATTTTTCTATCTGCAAAAGCTGATCTAAAGATATCATACAAAGGCCAAAATTACATTTCAATTATATTTGAAAACTAGAGATAGAATCCAACTGTTTTGAGTGCAAAGAATACATGGAGTATATTGAATAGTCCCATATTTGTGGTTTGAGTGTTGGACTTATATCTATTATAATAGAATTTGTAGGCTGCTTGTATAGATTGTTTTCCTTGTTTATTTTATTTTTACTCCCGAAGAGTGAAATTCTCCCTATATCGGTTACCTGTCTGCTCTTCAGCCACCTTTCTTGCCATTACATAATAAAAGAAGAGCTCTCATTATATCTCCAAAATGCTCCTCTGCTGTCTATTTCAGATAACTTTATGACAATTTATATAATGTATATCTCTGATTTCTCAATGAACTGTTTGAAATACCCATCCAGCTGGTCAGGAAACATTACTTTAGCTGTATGTTCTTCACCTGGTTTCCGTTGTAGGTCCAGGAGCCAAAGGTGAGGTTGCAATTTTGCCAGTCAAAGGGGAAGTATGCCACATCCACCACACATGTGCTCTTTGTGATGGCAGGAGAATCCCATATAATCTCTCCATTGTAGCGAAGCTTTACATTGGTGTTACTGGTGCCAGAATCCTCCTCTTCATCAGCTCTACAATAAAAAAGGTGAATGTGATGTGAATGATAGTCACATTGTACTGGTTTCAGCAATAAAGTATAGCTAAAGTAAACTAACTTGTTGTAGAGAACGATGTCAGGCTTCCAAACCAGGTCACTAGGGATATTGATCATCTCCAGGTCATCGTAGTCCTCCTTGTTCCACTTTAAATAGGCGTCATGCCACACTAGGCGAATCCACAAGTAGGTGGTCAGAACCTGATTCCTCTCATCCTGCATCAGACAGACCACAGTTAAAGCTGCACTTCCTTAATTTCTTTTTTTGTTCACAAATTAAACCTTGTGTTTGCCCCAATAGTCTTGTAAAAGTAAACAAATCGGACCACAAAATACTATCAACCTCTAAAATGAAAACATTATCTTTTGCATACTTTCTTCCATGTCATTATTTCACAATTCGGGTTGAGAGCAATCTTTTTCACTTTTCTATCTGAAAAAGCAGATTTAAATATGGCATAGAGGCCAAAAATACAAGCATGTGAAAACTACGATAGGATCAAACTGCTTTGAGGCCGAGGAACTAGTTAGATTAACAGTTGCATGTTTGGTGGTTTGACAGTTTCAAGTTGAATCCAATCCAGCCAAAAGTAAGAATTCTGCTGACCCCTAGTGGTGGGGTTCGGTACATCTTCCCATCGACTGAAAACAACGGAAGATTTTACTACGACAGAGAAACGCAGCGACAATAGGTTATGAATTTATTTTGAATAAGTAATCCTATGCAGCGCTTGTACTTATAAAACGCTTGATTTAGTTGTTGTTTGTTGTTGTTAACTTGTTTACTTTCACGATGCCGCCATGTGCCACATGGGAGGGCCACTCGAGGCAAACTACAGAGTCCGTCAGGTCGTGTGGAATAATATTAATATTTACAATCTATCAGAATCAGAATCAGAATCATTTTTATTGCCACGTAAGTAACAAAGTTACCACTTGGAAATTGTTTTGGCAAATCTATGATTATAATATAACCTGTATATGCCTTTTTCTACCATGGATCTATAAGATTTCTACATCCCTCTGATGCCATGCATGGTTCCATCACTATAATATGATGGGTACGTAACACTCTGACAACAGTCATCATGAAAGATTTAATTACTAATTTGGAAGAACATAAATGAAAATAAAAAAGTAGTCCGGCCACCTTTCAAAGTTACCTAAACCTAAATATTTATTACAACAAAATATTTTCCAGACGAAATGTGTCCATCTGAATTACACATATTTAATATACAGGTTTGTACCTCATATGTGCACTTTTTATACTTTGTTTCTTTATTGAGCTTTTATTTTCTATACTTAATATTTACTTATCTTGTCTTGTGTGCTCCTCATTCCTACTGTTCTCTAACTTGTAACCAAACACTGAAATGTCTCCACTGTTGGACAAATAACGGATCTGTTCTGTCTGAATGACACTGAGTGTGTACTGTTATATTTACATACAACATAATAAATGTCCGTTTATTGCCATCGCTATAACATACATTATTGATGATTAAACCTTACAATATTTGTAGGCGTTTGTTTTTCAAATGTTCATATTGATGTTTTGTGCTCACCATGTCCTTGATCTGTGACAAGGTGATCTGCAGAGACACGTTCAGAGCGCTGTCTGTGTCCTCCACTGGCCTGAGGGCGTTGGAGTATTCCTCCATCAGGTCGTTCAACAGTTTACGAGCGTAGTGACCCTGGGCACCGTGGGACACTGGAGGAAGAAGACAGGTTAGCTTCAAACTACCACATCCTTCTATAGATATATATCTGGGGGATCTAATTTCAAAATCACAAATAAAATAATCTATGTAATAAAATCCATGTAATTAATTCTGTTCTCAACTAGTTCCGCTCTCAAAACAGTTTGGTTCATTTGCATATTTTTTAAAATCTTTGTCACATCTTTAGAACCGATTTTTATAGACAGAAAAATGCCAAAGGGATGATCACCTTCACTCAGCTCTGAGCACAAAGGGTCAAACCAAGTGTACAAAAGATATCATGTTTTATAATGAAGGTCTATTCACAACATTTTAGTTTACAAGACGCTTTTCGTTGAGACAAACAAAATGTATTATTAATGAAAAAAGAAATCCAAGTACCCCAGTTTTAAGTCATCAAATCATAATCATTTGGTTTAAATCTAGACACAATCGATATGGACATAGTAATGGTTCGTCTGACCTTGCATTAAACAGCTTATCCAAATGACCAGCGCTGCCCTCCTCATTCTGAATCCGTCACAAGCTCAGGATCAATAATTCAGGCCTCTCCAAGGAATCACCAAGCCCACATCTGTGCATTAGTTTATCCTGCGCTCCATTCCATCAGCTCTGAGCCTCAATGAGCCTTGTTCACAGCAGAAAACAAGAAAAGTCACATCCTGTCAGAAAGTCTTCACTGGTCCTGGTTACTTTGTGGAAGGCGGTGGTGGAAGAAGAGCTGGGGCTATCGTTCGCACGGACACATGCACACACCGGTCAGCAGGTGTCCGGTGGCAGACGGCTGTAACGTTATACCCCCAGCCTGTTCTGCTTGTACAAGGGCCGAATCAGCTGTACGACACAACAGCGCACATCCACACCTAACGTTACACAGCCCATGACAGGTGTCCATCACAGACGCACTCATAACGCAGTGAGGGGGCTGCAGACACCTCTCAGCGCAGGTCACATTTCACTTTGTAAACTGCCCTCTCCTGAACAAGTGTTCGATCAGAGATAAGGTGGAACTCGACCTTATCTGAAAGCTCTAAAAATGGAAACCAGTCATTTGACCTTTGCATCTGTCCAGTGTTCAGGCCTTATTCTAAAGTTAAATATTGTAAATAATTAATATGCTCTCAATTGTGTTTTTTGTTTGTAATACTGTTTGACCCCCGACAAAGTAATTTAGTTTCTGTACTGCGTAGTATAAAGTAAAAGCTTAAACCTCTAAAGATCCAATGTACTGGCAGTGGAAAAAAACTGTAGTCAATTCTTTATCAAAATAATAATGCATTTCTCTAATAATAATTAAAATAATACATTTTATTCATAACACTTTTTATCCCACGGAATCTAAAAATAAAACATTTTGGGATGCACCAAGATCAAATTAAAAAATCCAAGATGAAGCTGGTAAGGCCGACTACCTGTCCCACCAAGCCTAACTCTGTGTATCTAATTGTATTTGATGTTTTGTGTACTATGACACATCTGCAAGAAAGTAATTAAGAATTTCACTGTGTATTATGACTGCGCTAAAAAACTTGAAATGTGAAAAAATAAAAATAATAATAGTTAGCTAAACAATTAAATGGGATATTACGTGCGTTCAGCTTGGACTGATTTGCTTTATCACAGGTCTCTAAATGTAATTTTAGGTGTAAAAGGGTAATTCTTTCATCTGCCATCTCAAACTTTTCACTCAGGGACCCCAAAATTATCTTTCACCTCCCACAGCTGAATCAAATGTAAAGCAGAAACATCTAGATTCATTGTAATGTAGTTCTTTTTAGTCATTTATTATATTATGTGACATCATTCCACTCAAAAGATTATGAAGAGTAAGATATTGCATTGCATGTTGCTCTCTCCCAAATTAAACAAAAATTATTTACAGGGTTAAGTCATGCCCTCAAAAACGGATGTCTTTGTGCTTGTAGTTGCAGAACTCTAGCGAATAATGGTCACCCCCAAACAGAGACGTGTTCGAGGTCTGAGGCTACGAGCGACTGTACGGCAGGTGTTTCCTGTGTGAGAGCGCTCTGTGTGTTAGGACCAAAGGAGCACCGAAGTCTCAAATCACACATGGCACTTTTTTTTTTTTACAACATTTCACAATATTTCACCAAAAATACAGAGATCTATAGCTGTAACACAGGATATACGTTTAGTTTTTTCCCCTACTTATCAGAATGATGTCAATACACACCTGCCACACTTTCAGGAGCAAAGGGCACATGGCAGTTTTAACAAGCTCCTTTGAGTTTCCAAAAATCATTTTGTAAGTGTGATGTGTTATTATTGTTATTATCATTTAATGACAACAACTTGCTACAGTCGTGTGAAACTCATTAATAACTGATTTGTTTCTGTAATTCATCTTAAAATGTGAAACCAAAAATGATATAGACACATTACATGCGCCGATTTAACAAGACTGGTCTTTTGTGTCCTTTTTCTCTTCTATCTCATTGTAATATGAACATTTTATTGTTTTGAGTTTTGGGGTGAGGGCGCTCATAATCCTTTCGCTTCAGCCCACTCCTTTTGAGCAGGATTTAATAGAGTTCAAACAAATTATCCAATAATGTGGGGTATGCCAAGCCGTTATCATTTTGGCTTATTTCAAAATTATAAAAAAAAGAATTATTTTTTTCTCGTTTGATTAGGGGTCTTACTGTATCTCTCTCATATTGTTCAAATATACTTTTGAACAATATTCACGAGTTTCACCGGTGTACACTACGAAACATATTCCCTGAGCACCAGTACGCGTGTACAGTCGATTCATATTCATGTGAGATGGCAACAATCTTTCATTTCCATTAAAACAAGGAAAAAATAATCTCTTCTGAGAAATTATTGAATTGATCTCTTCACGTAATACAAACCATAACAATATCCTAAATGTACAAACACGTATGGTCTGATATTTGACTGTTGAGAAAACGATATCCTAATTAGTAGTGCACAAAATCAAGATGTTCCGTGAATATTTGAAAATACAATTATTCTAAGATCTTTCCCACACACATTTACATTTATATAACCAGGTTAGGGTTAGAAAACATTAGATTCTTTCTGTTTTCTTTTCTTTCCAGCTCATATGTATTACATGTTGACGCAAATATTTATCCATATGTGAACAAATCATTATTTCAAGCCGAAGAAAATATAGTATTCTTTGTTTAGATAGACTATTGGAAATACGCAGTAATTATGACGTGATGATGGTGACATTGTCTGATGTGTGGTTTATTTCTTTTTTTCTTTTTTAAATATGATTGTATTCATACACCAAGAAATTTCTCCCAAATAATTCCCACATAAAAAGGCTTGAGTTTATGTTTAGTCAGGGGTGACATGCTGTCCCTTAATGTTTAAAGCACACACTGTAACATCATTATGCAAACATCTATGTAACAGTAATGAAAATCTGTAGAATGTGATCTTCCAAAACAGTTTCAATAGATCATGTATGTCATTGTGTGTCCTAGATACATGTATACATTTATACTATACCCATTTCTCAATGCTAATGAAATTAAATGTCTTAAATATCTAATTGCTCTGGGGGCATCGAGGGTCAGAACATCTTGCAGTTGTTAAGTCCGAACATGTGGCGATGCTCTCTCTTCTTGGCCTTGTTCACAGCTGTCCGAACGGCACATTCGAAGACCTGCTGCACCCCTCGGTTACTCAGAGACGAGCACTCCAGGTATCCTTTGGCGTGGATCTCATGGGCCACCTGTTTACCCTCCGAGGGCATGATGCAGTTTCCCCGGTGTACGCCCACCTCCCGCAGATCGGTCTGTGTGGCCACCACCAGCACGGGCACTTTGGGCAGGTGCTCCCTGATCTCTGCTATCCACCTGCGCTCCACACTGGCCAGGGAGCCGGGGTTGGCCACAGAGTAGCAGAGCAGGACGACGTCTGCTTGTGCGTACGACCGGGGCCTGATGTGCCTGAAGTGGTCGCTCCCCGCGGTGTCCCAGAGCCCCAGGTGGATCTGCAGCCCGTCCATGTGCACCTCCACGCCCGTGTTCTCAAACACCGTGGGCCTGTAGCACTCTGGGAAAGTCTCTGAAGTGAAGCGAACCAACAAGGCACTTTTACCCACAGCAGAGTCCCCGACCAAGACGCACTTCACCGACATCTCTGCCATGCCGGTCACCTGCTGCAGCGGTCCACCTCGCCCTGATGGAGTTTAGGAGTCCAGAGTCTGCTTTTGTGTACAGACACCACCAGCCATTCCTTTAAGACGAAGAATCACAAAAAAAGAGACATTACAAAAAAACTTTTATATTTTTTGTTTCTAATTTTAACACATTCAGAAATTGAGTTTTTGTTAAGAACTTATATTCCGAGTATTTTCGCAAACTTACAAAGACAAGTAGGAGGTCAGAGAAAATATAAAATACAAAATAGCCAGATATCAACAGATAGTTGAGGAAGATTGTTTATTATAAATGTTTGATTTAACGGATGGAACTGATCTCTTCAGGCAGGTTGTTCCAATGGCGCAGAGCCTGAACTGAAAAAAGGTTCAATCACCTTTTCCCCAGAGCCTCAACTTATAACGCGGCCATCAAGGACCTGCCTGAGGAGTCAAGGCTACAAGGTACAATCCCAAAATGTAGGATGACTTTTGTCCGGTCTGCCTTTTCTTATAAAAGGATGTAAACTATGGAACACACTTCCCAATAAAAAATATTTCAGACTCGAACCATTTGTGAATAGTGTACGGGAGTGCATGAGTACTTGTCATTTTATATTGTATTGATTGGTATAGTTTTAAACATAAGTGTAGAAAAGCCCAACCTGGGACAAGAGTCGTAAATACAGAACAAAACCTTGCACTAATGTGTTATGGCTACAAGTTATTGCATTGACTACTCCCACGAGACCTCAACTCCTTGTGCCAACAACAAAAATAACTACAATTCAAACAAGAAACAAAACTCTCATCCAGCCTGACAGTGTATTCGAGCAGCCGAGCACTGAACGCTCTCCCTTCTTCTTTGCTACGAAGCTTCTGAACAATGTGCCGGACTTGTGAGGTAGCTTCACATGGAACTGCTTCAAAAATAAGCTTCGGAACACTGAGAAAAAGAGGATTTTCAATATTATGTTTGAAAAACGTTTAGTGACTCAGTCGTTACGCCTCCGAGCACGACGTTTTATACATTAAAGATGTAATTTAAAAAAAAGATCTGCTGTAAACTCTGTATGCAGCACATAATCTGCAAGCATTGTAACAATGACAGCAATGTCCCTGTAAAATAAATAAAGTGATCAGCAAATGTGAAATGAAATATATGTGGAAGGAGTCAGTTTAGGTAGGATAAAAGGGGTTCCATGGAAATTGTATAAGCTATAATCATTCCTGTACATACACAGTACAGCTTAATGTTTAATTCTAACACTATCTCACTTCAGTTTGTATAAATCTTTAGTACTTTTCAGAAGCCATAATAAAGATAGCCAAGACTAAACAGCTTACTATTACACTTTTCTAGATAGCTGTATTTGATTACAATGTCCAATGATGGGGTTGATCACTCACAAAAGAATACAAATATAAACTTACTCTTGACGGCTTGAGCTGCGTTTCATGTGATGGTGAAATACAAGTCATTCAAAAGTATGAACACTGGTCACATTGTAAACTAAAGGCATGCAAGGCTCATCCACCAACTTATCTTCACCGTCACTAAAACTCAATGCACTGCGAGAGGTTGTGCATCCGCTATACGTTTGTTGGACTTGATCACCTCCCACACAGCTGCTGCCTCTGAAACTCAGGGTGCACATGATACAACTTACTAGATCATTTAGAAATAACCAGTCATAGCTACAGAAAAATAAAACACATTTATTTGATCAGTTTTATGAATACAGTGTTACATCAGTATCAATATAGTGGTGAAATCCAATACAAAAATATTCATACTCTTATAACTTATGTAAATTCATAAACATTTACACCAGATAATCCTTTGAGTTACACCAGGTATCATTCAATTGAATTTATTATAAAACCAGAATAATACATTTGAATTAATTGGCCGAAAAGTAAAAACGTGAGTTTGGTTATGTTAAATGAAGATGCCGTTTTAGGCATAACAGTCACGTCGGCACACAAAATTGAACTTTCTATATCTAACACTGTGGGAGGAGGACATAATTGAATAAAATAAAAGGTTAAAATCTCGTATAATTTAGAAAAACCCAAAATGCTAAACATGTCTCAAAAAGAGCCTTTTTAAAGCTGTATAAAATAGTTAAATTCCCGATGTACCTTCCTTATCAAGTACAATGTATGAGTAATTGTTGAAAATTTAAAATGGGACCCAATATTCCATCACGAACCATCAACAAGCAACGAGTGAAACAGATGCCCTGCTTATTAATAAACAATAAAACCACTTGTATGGATGCAGGTTTCTGGAGAGTAAACATGGAGTGCTGGACTTGCAATAAATTCAAAAGATTGAATTTTGTATCATAAAAAGCAGTTTTTAGTTCAAAGAGATCAGCACCACGCCTGGCTTGGCTTCAAACCTGGAAGGAACAAAGTAGTGAGTTGTGTGTGTGTTTCAGTGTGTATATCGTGATTGTACCTGTAGTGTTTTTTGGTGAGGTAGTTTAGAACAGCGGGGCGGATGCGGGCCACGCCCCCTTGGCTGTGGTTCCCCCTTCCTGTGATGACAGAGAGCTGAGGGCCACAAAGGCCCCGCTCACACTCTACAGCAAGAAAACCCACAGAATAAAGAGAAAAACTCACTTCTTCACTCTAAGAGACTAAGCGTCTCTTAAATGTAAGAAAGTGATATCTAATTGATCTGTATCTGACATTTCAGTATGTTTACTAAGTATAGAAAAACAGTACGCACTCTAATCTGTGCCACTGTCAAACCAGTCCTGGCCACTCCGGTACGAGTTTACATGTTTGAAAACGTTGTAATTGTAAATACATATATACAGTACAAGCACAAAGCTTATTTAATTACTCAACATTTGGTTTAGTTTGGGTATTTGCTAAATCATGGAACAAAGTCACCATGACTGATGTTCAGCTTTTACTTTGTATGGTAAAACAATAACACAAGGCACTGTATGCACCATCGCAATGATCATATCAGTGAGTAGCCAACCTTTGTATTCATACAGGACTATTTAGGCTACTCAAGACTGCAGAAACGGTTCCAACCTTTTATTCCTAACAGGATTCATGAGTTTACATGGGTTTTGTTCAATTAATTTAAATTGGAGTAGGCAAAGGATCTTCACTAGTGCTTTGTAAACTCACTTAATGATCCATGAAAATATATAGAATTAGAACTTCGAGAACTTAAAGCTGTGTACCTCCGGCTTTCCTTTGTAAAACGTCATTCAGGTGTTCCAGGGCTTCATCAACGTGTAGCCCATGAAGGTCCAGGACATTCTGTGGCAATAAAGAAGAATTGACCCTCTCAAAGATTTGAACTGCAGCTCTGTGATTAGCCTCCCGCATCCTTTGGGCGTGTAAGTGACCCTGCAAAAAATATACTCACCATTAGTTATTAAGTAATTCTAAGTAAGTGCATTTTTAGTCTAAGATACAAACCTGTTGAGCATAAAATGAAGCTACTTCCTTGTGGCCTCGTTGAAAAGCCTCCGTAGCTTTGGCAAAATTCTCCAGTTGTCGTCTGTGCTGCAGATTGGCCTCAGCTCTGAAGTCTTCATACTCTGGGTCCTCTGTGTCTTGATAGACCGTCGGTGTTGATTTCTGTATTACCATGAAGTAATAAGATTACTTAAGATTTCTGTTGATGGGAATTTTGTGTCTCCAGAGAGGTAAAAAGTTAAATCCTAACTTTAATAGTCATGTACCTTTGCATGTGAAAGTAGATAGAATAGATCCTTTGGACCATGCTGTCTAAAATTCTGAAACGGTGTCCCCAGATACAAGATAAAATGTGTTTTACTCATTACTATTGTTATGCTGATTTATTCTAAACATAGGCCAGGAGAGCCACATTGAAATCAACAATTATAGTGATTATCCGATCATAACATCTGTTATGTATCTACCTATAACTATAACTGGAAGTAACAGAGCTCCTTGTGCCCTCTGTTTGCAGGAAAAGACCAATTACTCTTTAGTTGTAAATGTAGTCCTTTTAAGTTTGTGGAGAGGCAAGCCTACCAACTAATATATGTTTTCTAACAATAAAACTACGCAAAAAATTATCATTTACACAATTACAAATAACTTCGTTTTTATAAAAGGCTTCTTCAGAACGTACCTTTTCTCTGTCCTTGCTGTGTTGAGTCATTCGAGGAGATTCTGGGGCAACCACAGTTTTAACAGACCCCTCTTCCAACAGAGAACGAAGAAACAACTCTGTTTGATTGAGGGAGTAACTAGAACCACAACAAAATGTTTTTAAAGTGTATTGTGCTGTGCATTGCGAACTTTACCTTTAGGCTTGGAGTATATACTATAAAGCCAGTATAAAATAATAATGTCTCACTTGTGAGCTCTAAAGACGTCCTGAAGGAAATGTCTATCAATTGCGGGAAAGAGGGCAAACAGCTGGTCTTCTTTTAGTGGAGTGGCTCCATCACACTTGTCCGGTCGGGCCTTCAAAAAGCAAATACAGTGCTTTTGTTGATTTTACATTTGAATGCTGTAATTGAGTTTACCTCCTCTCTGTTTTCCTGTAAAGCCATCTCCTCTTGAATTATGTCTCTGAAAGACACATGCGGCCGGGACACATTCCAGTGGTCCATAAACGGCAGGTGATTTCCTGCATCTAGAGAGCGGTCGTGATGTGAAGCACTGGGTCTGTTCCTCTGGTGATGTCTAGATTGTGTTTTATCCCATTGAGCAGAACCTGACATAAAAAGTTAGATTCAAATGAATGTTGTTACTGTATTAACTGCTTTGATTGTGTTATGTATTTCCATTTACGTACTTTCTTGAAGCAATTGAAAAGAAAGAGTTGCTTGTTTTTGTCTTTCCTAGAGGCAAACTCAGTATTTACAGGTGATACCATCATGGAATTGATAAATCTACCCCAACTTCAAACTCACTTGAACACTGTCTTTCAATTTTTGATGAAGAAGTTTGGCCAGATGAAGGTCCATCTGCAGGACATAATCCTCTGGAGATGCTGTGTCTAAATTCAGAATACAAAACGTCAGAATTTGTACTGCACCTTCGTCATTGTTATTTGCTGCCTAGGGTCATTACCTGAGTCCACTCCAACAGGACCAAACAGTTCAATCAGCTGCAGAGCCAATTCAGTGGGCAGTTTTAATTCAACGCTCTTAATATCCATGACTGGTTTATTTTTTTGTTTTACATCTTTCATCCGGGCCTTTAATGCTTCCCGTTCGGTTTCCTCTCTTTCGAGTTCAAGTTCAGCCAGTAAACCCCAGGGGATTTCACACATACTACTGATGTCCTCCTCAGTTTCAGCTAAATCTTCACGTCCCAGGCTGGTCCCACTATCACCCCCTTCACATGGCCTCGCCTCCACACTATCCCCTATTGTGACGGTTTGACTCAAATCGGAAGTGCTTTCTGTTACTTGATGGGTTTTAAAGTTGCCTTCCTCCTTTTCATCTAGAGAAACACTGCTTTTATCTTGCGTACTACACACAGCAGACGAGTCACAGACATTTGGTGCAGAAGCTGCGCCAACATCAATTTCCTCCACCACAACTTCGGGTTTGGAGCTGCTCACCTCTTCATCCTGCAAACTACTTAAATCGATGCTTGCCCCATCTTCACATTTTACACAAGAACCATCATCCTCTTCTTTCTCATCAGCCCTAAAGAACCTCTCTCCTGAATCTAACAGCAAATTAGTCGTCCATTCAATATCTTTTTGGCATTTCTCATACAAGTCTTCCAATGTGTCCGATGTTACCTGTTTAAAATGGCGCCTCAAAATAAGAAGGTTTTCGGTCATGTCTTCACTTGTCCCAAACTCTTTCTCCTCCACCTGGGTACTTTTCTCATAGACAACAGAGTATGGAACCTCTTTGTGCTTGGTTGGATCAATTGAAGAAGACGGGGAGGCCATCTTTGGCAAAAATCGTGTCGGGTTGCTATATAACATTCTGAAATCCTTTGTGGACGCGTCAGATGCATCAAGACTACGTTGATTTACACGCCATAATAAAGCAAAGTCCTGAGATTCTGTTTGAGAAAAGGTGCATGGATGTGTTTCATCTTCTGCCGTCGTGTTGGTTTCGCCAGGCAATGTACAGTCAGTTTTAAGGTCACATTTTGGTTCCTCGTTGGACTGAGCTTCAGATAAACTGTCAGCACAATCCACCGACGTGTCAAGACAATTATGCGAGAACGTGAGGGCGAGTTTACATGGTTTTCCTAGGCGACGAGTATGACACTGCTTGCGTTCCGTACCTCCTGATATAGGGCTTATTTGGTTGCTTTCAGATTTTCCCAAACTTTCCAATTCTGGATTTTCAGATACTTCATCACAGCTTGAAGTACTTTGACTGCCATCTTGTTCCAGAACCAATTTCTTTTCTCTATCTGAGGAGCATCCTGCCGTCTGTGAATCAAATAAATCGTCTGGAGGTTCTCTTGTGATCCCTTCTATAATGTCGGGGTTTCTCTTTATTGCAGAAGTGACATCTTGGTCTCCAGAGATGACAGAAAGGGGCAATAAAGAGGAAGACGCCGTATTTACTGGTTCTGACACAGTTTGAATCATATCAAAAAGCTTTTGCAACTCTGTCAAATCAGGTTCTGGCATATCTTTTGTTCCACTCCCTGGATCAACATTTTTTAAGTTGTCGTCTTCAATGTGGTTCTCAATATTACGCCCCTCATGTCTCTTCTCTTGACGCTGGTCGAGTGAAACTGCAGAGGGCCAGTCTCCTTCAAAATCAAATATTTTCACATTTGAGTTTGTGTTTTCTTCAGCTGTGGTTTCTCTCTGCTGTGACAAAACCTCTTCCTGAGATTCATCTGTATTATTTGACTCTTCTGCAGGCTCTGAATGATCTACACTAGATGTTTTAATTGCTCGTTCCCGTTTTACTCTTTGCCCAATAGACTCAGAGAATGCAACAGTTGGCTCATCGAGGCAGTGGTCTTCGGTAATGGCAGGTTCTGTACCACTATCAGAATAGATCTGAGCAACCTCCTCTCGCTCTGTGTAAGCATGTTCTTGCTCGTCTTTGAGATGCTTAGATTCATGGTTTGTTGAGATATCAGGTGGAGAACAAACAGCTTCAGCGTTCAAATTGTTAGATTCCCCTTCCAAGACAGAGCAAGGTACCTCAGGCTTCAACCTTGCAAAATAAAGAGACATAATTTAAACTCACAATTTAACTATATCCGCATTACAAAAAAAATGTATTTTTCTCACAGTTCCCCAGTTGCAACCGTTTGTTTCCTCTCGGGCATCTGTGAACCCATTATTGACTTGACTGTTACAAAACGCTCATATCCAGAGAGCATATGTTTGATTCTTTCCAATGGCACACCGTGTTTTGTTCGCCTGTACAATCACACACAGAAGATCTGTTAGGTTCATTCTTATAACTATTTTACTTGAAATGTTTGTTGCTACCTCTCCAATTCTCTTGGTTTGTATTTCCACCAAGTGTCTGGCTCTCTAAAATAAACCTTATAATCGTGCTTCAGGGCCTGCATTTAAAAAAAAATAAGATAAGTGAAAATTACAAGAAAAGTAGGGAATAAAAGGTAGATAAAAACTATGAATAGGTAAATCTTATGCTCAATAATTCTTTTACTGAAGTTTAAAACACTAATGACAAAAACATGTACAATTTCATTGTAGAAAATAAGTAAACAATGCAATTTAGCAATATGGGGTTTCAGACTAATATATGCAATGACGGCTACAATTTTGTATGTATTCAGCAACATAAGCATATGGACAGAATAAATGTCAGATTAAGTGATTTGAAATTAACAAATGATTTTGCATTATTACTACAGGTAAAGTTCCCATGCACAGAATGACAAAGGAACAGATCATTAAGAGATTTCAGAAGCACAAACCTGAACCACATAGGGTCTCATCTCCCATCCACACATGTTGGTATTATCGATAATGATGGGATTAGCTCCTTTTTCAAACGCTAGTCTGGCTTCATGAAAACATAAGAAGAAAAGAAAAGCAATCAATATGTGCTTGTATGTGAGCCATTTTATTTCGAAATCAGCAGGCATTTACCTCGATCGTGATTCCAATCGTGAGCTTCTCCGAGCACACTTAGGTCAAATTTATATTCTCCATTAACTATAAAGTAATCATCAGTGCTGAGAATAACTCCGCCGCGGTTATGCTCAAGTAGAGCTCTGTAAACATACAAGACTGGTCAAATTATGTAATAATGTAGTCAGAAGAAGTTTTTTAAGGGACAGTATGTAATATGCACTCTTAGTTGTCTAATAAAGTCACTGCAATAACAATCCAACTTTTGTTCCCAGAATCTGTGCGCTGACATACTTGCAATCTCACTCTGGGCCGGTGGGGGTGGACCCGGAAAGAGAATTACCCGATACTTTTGTATGCCGCCTTCTTTCCTCTATAAAAACGGGGATTTTACAGGATGGTCCAAAAGTCGGCTCTTGGCCTCAATACTGAGGGGTATTTTTTTTTGGACCAGTCTAGTTTAGCCGCTGTGGACTTTTGAATGCACTTGTTAAAAGAATGGGGCTCATGCCGGCTAACACATGCGTAAATGTGTTTTTTCGCCATCTTCCTGCCCCAAGTTCATTTTTAAAAAGCCCACAGAAGGCAAAAGTGGTGGCACATTAGTTTCCACGGTGGAGATAGGCGTGACTACGTCAGTAAATATTGACAGTCTATGCCTGTAATGTGAGCACTGATTACTGATGCAAGTCACTCGCTGGGTAGAAACTGTGTATTACATATGACAACTCATTTATGTATGAGAGCTTAAAGTGGCAACAGTGTTCTCAGTAGGTAGAGCATTGGCCATTGGGGCTGAAGGTCGTGGGTTCAAGCCAACAAAAACACCTACTTCATGACTCCCACTGATACTGCGACCTGTATTACTGCATTTGAATTTTGAATCTGGCGCCAACACTGGCACAGAAGTTGGAGCTGACGTCTGCAAGTTGGACCTGACGTCAGCAGCCCCCCGCCCAGAGCAATGTAAACGGCCCAGTCTCGTTCACGCCCCCTTTAGTCCTCCAAGCTACGCCCATTTAGAGGAAGATTTGAACAGGAAATGTGAGTAACGTAAGCTCCGAGGAGTGGGGGTGAGAACCACTTTAAACCTCAGATGATAATTTTGGGAGTAGGGACACATACTGAAGATGTAGATGTCATTTAAAATTTAAATATTACATATTGTCCCAAAACATAAAATCTGATTCAACAAGAAAATAATCAGACAGGCATAATACGGTATTAAAGTGGTCCTACATGGTAAATACAGGTCATACAGTTAAATACCTTGCCAGAGTTGATTTTCCTGAGCCTGGCAGTCCACGCAACAATACAAGGACCTTCCCCTCCAAACGCAACTGGCTGGCCTGGCTTGGGGGCTGTGGAGGTGGCCGAGCCCACATCTTGGGTTTAGCAGGATGTGGTCTCAGGTGAGCTTGGCTGATAGGTCTGTTCCAGGAAAGAGGAGGCCTCGTCCCTCTGGTCCAGTCTGAGGCCACGGGAGTAATAAAGGCATTTCCTTGGATTTGCTGAACTTGGGGCTGAAATGCTGGAGCATCAATGTTCCAGGTCAATGACGGAAAACTGTCTGACATTCTCACTTTAGCTACTGAGGCTTCAGAAACGGAAATCTTGGTTGGATTTGTATCATTATTATTTTGGTTTGTAGGAATCGAATATTCAGAAGAATGACCAGGTATACTGAGATCCTCAGAGTGTGTGTTCTCGCCCTTGGTAGTTTCTATTGGGACCTGTTCATCCTTGACAATATATATGTCCTCAAATGGACAGAGTTGATCGAGAGAGGACAATTTACTGGGATTTTGCAAACAATTAAGTGAAAGAGAGTTGTCAGTAGAAGTCCCACTGCACTCAGGGTGCTGATCTTCAGACAGACTGTGACATCCCTGGTGCTGGTCGACATTGTTTTCCTGTGTGCAGAGTGACTGCACTTCCTGCTCAATTAGAAAATCCACATCATCTGTCAGGAAGCAGGTTGGAGAAGTGGATGAACGCTCTAAATGTGTTGACTGATCTGTTTGTGATGAAGGTTCCTCAAGTAATGCTGCAGCGGTCCTCTCAAAACCAGACGCAGATAGGGAAACAGGTTGTGGATCAGCAGCTGCAACAGATAACTCCAAAAGAGCATCCGTAGCATTTTCAACTATGTGACAAAAGAACAAGTTTAAGTACATTGAATGTATATCTTTATCCTTTTAGAAAGAAATTACAGATAATCATTTTAGCATCCACATGTTTTAACTGGACAAGCCTTAGACAGTAACAGTTAAGAATATAGGAACCTTTGTAGTCACAAAACATGTCCCGCTTACAAAAAAGAATATAATATAAGATTATAAATATTCAGCCATGTCTGAATTCTCTGAATATTTTGGGCAACGAGTAGCTCACGAAATACAGGTTAGAGATGCCTGGCTCATTTTATTCATCGGAAAGGATTCAGATTCAATCTGGAGGTGCTGCTTCAGTATAGTTTAAGTAGTAGTATTTTTTTCATTTACTAAAATATATTGTAACTATTAGGTAAAGAAATTCAGTTGTGGGAAAAGCGCTGTGTTGGGCTACCTTTAAAGTCACACTCGGACAAGACAATGTATACAACTTCGGGATCCAAGTGCGAGAACATCTCCTGCATGCTTCTTACGATGTTTTCCTGAGCTGCAGACCCGGGAAGAAAGCTGTTTGCCATTGGCGGTCGGGAACCCGTGTGGTCCCCCCCCTCTAGCTGTAGTCCACTTGGAACTCTAGCTGGGCTTTGGCCGCCCTTCTTTTTTCGAGGCATTATCGACAGCTTTCATTAGCATACAGTATGATTTAACACGGTGTGACCTCCTTCGTCATTTCAGTTTATGAGAGCAATACAAACGTATGGTCATAGAAGCTGTCCAACAAGCTGATCAACCTTCATTTCGATCCACAGAGTAGGTTAGCGCTGACTGGCTGATGCAGGTAAAAAACAGGAAGTAAAGACGAAACTTCAAAATAAGAGTACATAATACAAAGGTACAAAGTGCATTTATGTCCAAATATTTATATAGGATATTATGGATTCATTTCTTCAATTAACGATTAGATGTTTAGATCACCAAAGATCAATGAATATGGGATTTTTTTACACATGCACATGGTGCACACATATACACACGCGCTCATTTTACCGGTGGTGGGATTCGTCTTCGTGTGCGCGCGTGCGTGCTTGTGTGTGGCTGTGTGTGTGATTGCGCATGATTGAGCAGGAATGTGGTGTGTATGATGTAGATACTTGATGATTGAGCAGGAATGTGGTGTGTATGATGTAGATACTTGATGGTCGGACGACCCCTTTAAAATCTGTTCTGGTTCTTACTGCTTTGTAATGGGATATACTTCTAGTTGCAACGACTGTGTTGCAACCGGTAACAACAAAGTATGAAAGCAACTTACGTACGCCTAGTTAATGTAAATCTCCTCATTTTCTGTTTAGAAATAGTTTGAGAAACTAAAATAATATAATCGTCAATTAAAAAGTGTGCGTGACAAAAAATATTTGAAATGAAACATCATTCGAATACAATCTGTGTAATATATTTAGTGTTATTTTTACATATTGTATTTTTACTCCGTTTAACTCAGTTACATATAAAATACTGTAACATTGTAGTACAAATATTTAATTTATATTTTATCCCGGTAACTAGTGATATATTACTCAGAGTAACTTGCCCGACACTGCTGTATGTGTAATTTAGAGATGACAATGTTATGAATGCTTTACAGATGAATGAAAATCTCCCGCCATCAGGTTAGTTTGCAGTACCGTCCGAAGCCTGCAGAGTGCGCACTAGACCATTCTTCACACAGGCACGGGGCTCTGAACGGATAGCGAAGAGCTTTGTGCAGAAAACTAAACCCAACCTGTGCCATACAAATGAATTAAAACGGCCTACTTAAAAGGTAAATACGTGCTGGCACATGTGTTTTCTTGTACCGTGTCTTCTGGCGGGTTAATATGATCAATTTGTACATTTTTTTGCATTGTTGTTGCACCCAAACCTATCTGAGAGGGTAAGTTGTGGAGAGAGGAGGCTCGGCCATAGCCCCCTAATGTAAACTAGCGACAGTCTCATCGATGCTTGAAGTTCATAAAGATTGTAACAAGTAGATTGGTTGTATTTTAAACTTTAAAAAGTACTTGGGTTGGTTTTAAATTGCTTACATGGACAATGCATGTGGTCACACAAATAAGTAATACTAACATTTATACATCCTTCTTGGTTAGTCTGAGATGTTGGGAGCACCTGAATAGTTTGCGGCCTAAGCTAACCAGTTAGCATTGATGCTACTAACGTTACTTCCTTCCCGCAAAAAGCTAACATTAGCCATGCGATGTAATTGGAAGCTAATGGGATAACAGAAGTCTGGACCATCCCACATAAGCCTATGCTCTATTATTACAACAAATTGACACAATAACGAGAATTTATTTTGTCTAGCGCTGCTCTGTGTTCTGAATATTGGCTCAAACGCTGGGCTTTTGTATTGTACTGTGTCATTGTTTTCATATTAGTGTTACTAAAGTTGACATATAATCTCATATGCACTCGCCAAATGAGTAATTCCTTGGTATTGTGGTGTTATAATATGGGTTTTTGACAAAAGCAGTGTGGTTATACTGAACTTTTGTTTTGTGACCCATAGAGGCCAGTATAAGACCGTGTGGACAGCACATCCCAAACAAGCATGGACTTCCCACACCAGCAGAGATCAGCAGGGGATGGAAAGGTGGTGGTGTACCCACCCGGAGTAAAGGAGATCACTGATAAAATCAGTAATGATGAAGTTGTAAAACGTCTGAAGGTAAGGGCTGATTGCATCAGTGCTATTTATGTGGCAAAAGTTTGTGGGTTAGTTTCAAATATCCCATTCCTTCTTTTCAAGGTTTGAAAATCTGGAACAAAATCTTTCAACTGTTTCTGAAGCAGAGAACGTGTTCCTTGTAGGGCTGCACAAACTGATTCACTTATAATAGAAGCATTTTTTTTAAGAATCTAAATACACCATGCAGTAGCTTGTAAGAATATACATTGTAATTATATAAATATATACAATGTATCTACAATGTCTTCAATCAAATCATCTTTCAGAGGACACAATAACTAAAATTTGCTTAGACTGACAATGTGGGATATATACACACTTAATGTGAAGGAAATAATACATGTTGGTCCCAACAGAAAGAGTTGTAAAAGTCCAATATTGTGAACAAGCCAGAGCACAACTTGCTGTCTACATGTTATATTTTATACATTTGTAAGAAAGATCCCTGAGAGTCACTATGCAAAGCTTTGGAATGAGAGCTGATTGGCTGAGGAACAGGCCCTCGGATGGATTTTTTTACATAGTCTTATTGTTTGTGGTTTTCAAAAGAAATCAAGATGTATTTATAAGGTTTATTTGACAGGGACAGGGCACATTAACTCACTCCTAAAAACATAATTTGTTTTTTATAATAAATCAATTTAGTCATATTCCGGTTCTATCATAACTCTGCTTTGATTGATGCCTCTTGGGCTCAAATCTGAGACACATTATTTATTTGTGTTTGAATTACACACCCCTCATTTTGAAGTCTGGGATAGAACAATCCCAGATTTAAAACCTGGTAATGAAGTCTGTGGCTTGTCCGTAAGGCTGTCAGTCAACAAGGTTTTTAGAGTGGGGTATGGCCTGATGGCCCCAAGACCACTGTCATGCCTTATTAAGTTCATAATGACATACAGCGAGTTAGTTACATTGTACTCACAGACCGAGGCTCCTGTTAGCGTCTTCTATGTTGGAAATAAAACCATGTTTCCAGATCAGCTTTTGAGTAGGTCCCGTTTCAAGGTAACCGTAGTTCTGGAACAGTCTTTGGTGGTGTCACCGTCGGAGTTCAGACTCGCGGATACGAGACACAACGCCGTGAACAAAGTTGATCCCCATTCTCCGTCTACGTCTACGGGCCAAATACTGTCGTCACATATTTACACCCAAAGCACTTTCTCCAAGTTCACATGAAGCTAACGCAGAAAACCACAGACACGTATTTACTGGTATTCTAATACTGTTATGTCGAGCCACAGAAATTTGCCTAGAAGAGATGAAGCTAAGAAGATGAATGATGTTTACATTAGTGCTGACTGCTGTTTGTGCATGTTAAACATTAGTAAAGATAGTTTTGCCTCTGCTGCTGTCATGTTGGATCAGTTAACAAACTACAAGCTTCCGTATGTCGAATAGTGTACCACAGGGGTGCTCAATACGTCGATCGCGATCTACCAGTCGATCGCAAAGGTAGTATTGGTAGATCGCATTACATAATAAAAAAATCCGTTTATGCATTTGCGTGTAGACAGAGTTTTGCGTTTTCGCACGCCACAGTATGCCCCCAAAACAACAACAACAAACAAAACGAAGCGAACATCCTCCACATCAGAGAGCAGCAAAGTGATCACAGGGACTCGCGCTCGAAAACAACCAAAACAGGAGCTAAACCAGGATCAAACCAGGGCTGAGAACGGGGGTCAGTGCTTGTAAACATATGTCTTCACCATGGATCTATAATCATATGTCTTCACCCTGAGTTTCTACTATGACTGTAAGTGCCGTTACAGAAGTACCGGCGTCTGCATCAAAGCTCCGCCCACTTCTGTGGTTTTTCCCCGACGCAGGATGCCAGAGGACGTACATGTTTGGAATGTTATGAATGCGATTGAAAACGCAGATGTTCGGTTATGTGTGGATGCAAATTATTTTATAAATCATGCGGTTTTGCATGTACATCAACATACATTGTAGATATAAAAAATCCTCAATATATTTGGAAATAAATATGCTTTGCATTTTTGTAGTAGGTAGATCATTTTGACTTGATCAACGTATTGAATTGATAAGTAGCTCGCATGCGGAAAAAGTGTGAGCACCCCTGGTCTACCATTTACAAAAAATTGCAATATACTATTTAATTGCTTTATTTCGGTCATTGTTGATAAGATGGAATAGGTTATGACAATAATTTAATAATGATTGAATCATAATTAAATTATTGTCATGGCCTATTCCATGGTAGGGATGCTTACCATTATCATAGACAAGTAATATACAAAAAAATATATAAAAACACTTTCATACTTGCATGTCAGTGCGTAAAACTTTTTTGAAGAAAATGTCATGAAAAAGTATAAAGAGGAATTAGATTGATGCCCTGAGCCGCACATACAGGTCAGGAGATGGGCCACCGTTGTAGTGTCATCCACTTTTAAAATATCTCTATCTGTTTTTACTTGACTGTTTGTACAAGTTTTAAAGGCTATGAATGAATACAAAATCTTAACCTTGCAAAACTGTAGAGCACAGAGCACTATTTGCCCTCTTGTTTAACACCAAGTTGTTTCAGTGGAGTTCCTCCACTACTTTGAAAGCCACCTGCTTATTTTCAATTTACAGTTGGTATACATTCCTCTTGACATGATATATGTGCTTAATACGAGTCAAAAAGCTATTTTTCTGTGGTGTGTACTGTTGTGGCAACTGCTCCTATCAAGTGGAGAACTTATGGAGTTTCTATTTTGCAAAAAAAAAAAATTCTCTTATTGGGTGTCGATTTTTAGGAAAATGCCTAAAAAGGAACGGAATCCATCTGCCACAAACACAGCTGACCGTCTGACTTTGCTGACTTTCATAGATACAATGCAATGTTTTTGTGTGGTATACGGTTGTAGTAACCGAGGCAACAGGGAGAAAGAACTGTTAAACACATTTTTGAATACCAAAGGTCGTCTCAAACCGAGGTGTTCTTATAAAAAAACGAAAAGTAGGCTATACAATCTAAGCTGTTAGTTTACTGCTGCGGAGCTTCCCACTGGAGCTTAAGTCCAAACTTTTGATTATTTACAGCTGAACAAATCCAGAAAATGACAAAGGATCACATTTCTGGCCTCAAATGTTGTTAAAAGTAACATTTGTTCCTTTTTTATGGTATTATTGATCAGAACTGTGATCTCAGACGTGGTTCTGTTGATCCCAAAATGACTCCACTGTCGTCACTATAACAGCCGCTTAATCCTCCACATTGTTGAATGCCCATTCTAACTGATAAGACAAAATCATGCAGGCTGCTAATGCGGGTTACGTTACTGCCCTACTTAAAGCAGCAGTAAGCGATTTGGTCGTTTCCGGCAGTTTCTTCTGCCTGAGCGAGTTAGTAGCCCCGCCCCCGTCCCCTCGTCACACCACATGAACGCGCATCGTGTTGGTGATGGCAGCAGCAGATTCATCTCCGTCAGGTCTACTCGTAAGTATATTAACAACAAACTCTGGGAGTGAAATATTAGCATAGAATAGCTCAGTTGTAACCTAGCTATAACACTGGAAGCAGCTTGGTGTTAGCTAGGATAGCATCACTAAGAAAGAGATAAAAACAATCCAGTCTTTTATAGAATAATACTGCTTTTATAGTTGGTACACTGATAACTGTTGTGATAAACATAATGTTGCAGATTGCAGTGTGACGTGTGTCAACATTATGCACTGTAACATCTGTTACAGTGCATATGTATTAGATGAATGTAATGCATATACATTACAACAACAAAGCTTTACATGAAGGTTATTTAAAGTAATACATTACTGCTTTCCTCACAATTTGTATATTTGGAGTTCTTTATAGACAACACTGTAGTAATGTATTATGTGAAAGTAAAGCTGCATCTCACTGGAAGCTGCCTTCTCAATGTCACAAAATAAAGATACATTTATTGATGTAATCAACATCTGTATTATGTGCTTATTGTTCAGAGAATGAAGACAAAATCAAAGTGTATCAGAGCTGTACAGTGAGATGTGGGACTGAAAAACAATTCCAGTAAAGCTTGTCCGAAACGCAAAAGTACTGTCATAACTAATTACGTTACACTATTACACTGTAAGGAAACTCACCACTTTGAAAGAAAAGCTACAAGTAACAGAATATATAAAGTCATTTGTCATAACGGTTCTTTCAGGAAGCACTGAACGCCCTCTGTCCAGAGAAGCTGATGACCAGATCCTCCCAGACCTTTCCCTGATGCGTCTGTGAAAGGTGCCAACAGACATTGAAAACGTGCTTTCCTCAGTGGCCCCCATGGTGCACGTCCACTCTGCAGTTCTGAAATATGTTTGTAGTTGTACTATTTCAAAATAAAAAAAAATACATTCACCTCTTTCAATGTGCTTTGTTTTATAGTAGGAAAACAAATACAGTCTGTAACGAGTCTAAGAAACTTTATTATGTAAAAGAAGATTTGAAGTTATAGCCGGAAAAATATACACAATGTCCCTACTAAGACAAATAATTACAAGTGATGGTAAGGCAACGTTTGTGTTATCACTTTTTGCTCAAATGAATAACACTGTTATTATCCAGGTCCTTATCCATCGCTGCTGCAGCGAACACTATCAGAGATATCTAACAAAATGTTAATCTTTATGTTGTAGCTTGTTTGAACACATTTCCTCAAAATAATTCATAAGCAGCCACGCACACACAGCCACACACACACACAGCCACAAGCACACACAGTCACACACAGTCACAAGCACACACAGCCACAAGCACACACAGCCACACACACACACAGCCACAAGCACACACAGTCACACACAGTCACAAGCACACACAGTCACAAGCACACACAAGCACACACAGCCACAAGCACACACAGTCACAAGCACACACAGCCACAAGCACACACAGCCACAAGCACACACAGTCACAAGCACACACAGTCACAAGCACACACAGCCACAAGCACACACAGTCACAAGCACACACAGTCACA